TGGCCATGAACCCCCCCCCACACCCCACACCCTAAGGGCCACTCCTGCGGCAGGTTGGCATACAAACTGACCGGGGGTGCCACAGGGGGCAAGGCCTCGAGCTCCTCTGCAGTCTCTGCACTTGCACGTGCAGTCATCTCGACTGAAAGTGTTTGGTAACGATGTACCATATGCATCGCTCTCTGCTCTGCAAGCAGAGTAATCTCTGTGTCCACCGACCCAGATTGCTCTTCTTCCTCCTGGAGGTATATTTCCTTGGTGGGGGCAGCAGTCTCTGTTGGTGTGTGAGTGTCTGGGTCATTGGTAGACGCTGCAGGCATTTGAGGATTGGTTACACCCGTTGCGGGAGGTCTGGCTGTCACCATGCTGAGCAGGCCTGGTGGTGGCGCCGGCGGTGTTTGGAGTCGGGCATGGAGTGCATTTATCAGCCCTTGTTCTGGGTCCCTCCGCTGTTGGTCCGTGGCCGGTTTGGCTGCTTTGGATTTAACCGCCAGGGGCCCTTGCGGCCTTGGCTGCGAAATTCCTTGGGGGATAAGTGCCTCAGCTGCACCAAGGTTTTTCTGATCGGACAGGCTTGTCGGACAGTTGGAGGATGTGCTTTCCGGGTCCACTCCTTGAGGAGGAGCTGTCGTGCCAGCCAAAGGGTCTGGCGTCCATCTGTTACGTCTCTTTGCTTCTCCCGGAGGGAGGGTGGCGGTGCCATCAACCCTCCACTCTGTTCAGCCAGATGCTGTTGATACAAGTTAACTCATATATGAATGAATGTAAAATCCCTTTGCATCCACATGGAACGTTATTATCTTGGCCATGGTTCCCCCCCCCAACCCCCCCCACCCCACACTCCTCCTGCCGTCCACCACTACTTCTTACTTGACTGAATGTAAAGCCCGTTGCATCCACATGGAACGCTATTATCTTGGCTTAGTTTCTGAACAGTCTAACTTGGTTTCTGAATCGACTGTTTTGGTTTCTGAATCGGCTCTTTTGGTTTCTGAATCGTAGTTGCTGAATCGCCTGGTTTGGTTTCTGAATCGGCTGTTTTGGTTTCTGAATGGGGACTCGCTTGGTTTCTGAATCGGCCCGTTTGGTTTCTGAATCGGCTCATTTGGTTCCTGAATCGGACCATTTGGTTTCTGAATCGGACTGTTTTGGTTTCTGAATCGTAGTTGCTGAATCGGCCATTTTGGTTTCTGAATCGTAGTTTCTGAATCGGCTGTTTTGGTTTCTGAATCGTAGTTGCCTGATCGGTTGGTTTCTGAATCGGCTAATGACCCATAAAGTGGCACCCCGACTTGGATGTCCAGCTGTATTTTTGACACGTTTTGTTTTCCGTCTATTTGAGGTCATTTGAGGGTGACGTTGAAGATTTGACAAACAGGTTCAGTAGCTACTCTGTGATGGTTGCTGCGATAGGTTGTGAAATACCCTTGTGGAATGTGAATACTTTTTGTGGGATCTTGTCCTTTTTTTTCCGGAAGTGCTTTGGGCTTTGGAAGCAAAAGGAGCAGCCAAAGGGTTAGGAGAAGCAGCCGGAGAGACGGAGACGCGGAGAGAGGTACGGGAGAAGAACCAAGCTATAATGCCAAGAAAAAGAAGCAAAAAGGATAGAAGAGAGGAGCACATGAAAAACACTAAGAATCCGGGCCCAACAAAAACACACAAGGTTTGGTTCGGGCCCGGACCTCTGCTGCGGAGGGTCCGACCGGCTTCGGGCTTCGCTTCGCTTCTTTGCTGTTTCTTTGGGCTTGGCTAAAGGCCTCACTTCCTGAGGAGGGCTTCTGGGCTTCATTACATGCTCTTTGGGCTTGGCTTCGCGTGTCACTTGTTTAGGGATCTTTAGGGTGTCATAGGGTGTCTTTTGGGTTGACTCGTTTTCTTGGGACCAGCTTGCCTTGAACCACAATGTAAACCCATTTGTCCGACTGTTTTCCAGCTCCCTTCGGTTCATCCCCGAATCATGTGCCCGGTCGCCACGGGGCCGGTCACGGATCGATTCCGCGGGCGCATGCGCGTCGAAACCGCCGTGTTGCGGAGGATTGAGCTTCGTAGAGTTTGGCCAGCGTATGGAGGCTGGTCACCAACTGCATGGTCGTTAAGTGATGAATCCTCCGCTTCACCATGTCAAGGATTTCCTGAATCGCGGGAAGTGGAGAATAAGAAGCACTAGCAGCTTGCACATGCACTGTCACTGGCACTGCTCAGTTAGAAGCAGAGTTACAGTAACTGAATTGAAGGCTTTGCACAACATGCTGCCTGCAACTAAACTGACAAGCATGGCTTTCTTCGAGATGTTCGTAGAGCCCACTCAAAAAGAAACCGTCTTGTTATTGCCTATACATGGTATACAAATCACACCAAAATCAGTATCAAACAAACATCAAAGACCCATTCACACCGAAGGCTTACAGGGTCTCTACCGTTTCTGATCCTCACCAAGACCAGAATGCAACCCGTCTCTCAAGATCTCGCCCAGTTTCGTACATATCCTGCATTTCTCCAATCGCCACATCGTCCTCTCCGGAGTCCGCCGCCACCTCCTCTTGACTTGGCTGCATTGGACTCGTTCCCATTGGACTTGTCATCACCGCCATCCCCGTTGGGATTCCCACGGGCGTGGGCATTCCTGTGGGCATTTGGGCAGCTATCGCAATGGGAATTCCCGCGGGAACCGCGGGCATGATCGTAGGCTGGATGATCGCTGCACCCGTGTTGACACTCGGATTCATTTCATCCATCGGATTCAGGGCAGCTCTTGTAGGAGTCACTGTCCTTGGAGTTTGGCTTTCGGACACGCGTTGGACATGCAGAAATGTCACACCCAGCAGTAGAGGAATGACTGTTCTCACCAGCTCGATTTGTTCAGTTCTGAGTAATGCCCAAGACCCAGCATGCCACCATTCAGGGGCCCCCCACAGTCACCGGATACAACCCACAAGCACCCCTTGTTCCAGGGGTGGTTAATGGACACGCCTTAACTGCCAAGGAGCTATAACTAGGCATTTCCTTGGGGGGTGGTACATGTTCTGAAGGTTCTGCAAACCTTTTTTGTTCAACTCCAACCGGTCCGTGAACTCCGCATGTCCAAGCCACCAAACTCCCATCGCCTGACCAGTGCATTGGACCGGTTGCGTGGGCCCCTCCTGAAGGAGGTCACTGAGCTTCAGGACATTCTGTGGCCTCCAGCTGGGTTCGCTGCATGTCGTGCTCGACTAGAACTGATCGATCTAACAACGACGACCATTGCATCAAAATTGGACTCATACCAGGACCCTCATGGACCCTCCATTTCGGGGCTATGGATAGCTCTTGTTCCAGACATGTTTCGGCCAATTCAAATGGAACACCATAAAAGCTACCGAGTCACACAAACAGGAAGAGGTTGGAAGAGGGTAGAGTCACTATAGTCAAAGTTGAAACGTGTTGAAACAAATATGTTTGAGATTATGTGAGTGATTACATTTATCTAAGTTGGGGGACATTACCAGGGCCCAGTGGATGATGATGGATGTTTGTTCCAGCCCTTTATGAAACATGCTCCACTTCACAGGTGTTGTGAGCTCAAAGCGCTTTTCACCATGTTGGACAAACTCCCGTCGCCCTACTCAGCCCGATTCCCCATGCCTCTGCTGTGGTATCGGTATGGGCAGCTCGAGCAGCTTGGCCATGTGCGCAGGCGCCTCCATGTGACAGCGCAAGCCCTGGAGACAAGGGGACAAGCAGGACGAGGGGACCGAAATCGGTTTGCTCAACTCTGACGGCCATGTTTCAAGGTATCAATGTCCTTCTGAAGAAAGCCCTTCTGCAGGACTTCGTGCTCAGTGAAAAATCCGGAATTAGTCGACTGTATACGTGGGGCTTTCTCTTTTCCTCATGGCCACAAAAAACGGTTGATTGAATACTTTGGCCTATTTCTATAGATTCTAGACTAGATTTCACCATGAAGGTACTTCAGGCCGTTGAAGGGCCTGAAACGTCAGAAACCAAGAATCCCATGGACGGCAGAAACCAAGAGCAACGATCCTTTTGCGGCCAAAAGTTCGTTGAACCCAGAAAGTGGTCGCCGTGTCCAAAGCTATGGCTTCACTTCATGCCTGTCTAAAACATCTTCACCAGGAGCATCCTGTCTGGCTGTCCTGGACTACCCTACACTTAGGGATATCCACTGGACACCCATTGGATGGTTCAGGTATATCTGAAACCAAGTTCATCCAATTGCTCCATCCTCTCCGACGGTGTCTTTTCCCGCGTACCGGCCAAACAAACCGGATCGGATCCTCACCTGGAGCAAGTTCTCCTGCTCGAGCTCGCTGGGCTGAGAACTCATATACATGATGGCCGCGTCTCTCGGCACACCCCGTTTGAGGCGTCCGATCTGGCGGCCGATCGATGAAAAACTACCAGCCAAACGTACAAGGCTGCGGTAGGAGCTGCGGTAGGTGCACACATAAGACACACCCCGACACACCCAGGTGCGGGTCACAGAATTATGACAATGTATATACTGAAATGCCCCAAACGTTCTCGTCAATGAGAAGAAACATGGCCAAGACCCGTGCCTGCCTGTGCTCATGTGTCAAGGGTGTAAAATCTTGAACATCAACGGGATGGTCGAGAATACCTGGGTTCACCATTCAGTGAATCTTGAACAGAAATCTTGAAGCACCATGAAGTACCTGGGATAATCCTGGGTACACTTTTGACTCACCTGGAACGCGTCTCCGCATTGTTGTGCTCTCCGATTCTCGTGCGAGTCGCTGCGAGAACATCGGGATGGTTCGAAATGAACAGCTAATTCTTTGGAGTCTCAAGAGAACTTGAGACTGGTCTTTTCGTGGAAGACGAGTCAACACCGACCTTCGTTACGGATCGCAGAATCCGAGAAATAGAATGAAGAACGAAGACGACATGCAACACACCGTACCGTTTCCGTACCGTTTCGGCCTCCAGACCCGTCTCGCGCTTAAAAACGGCGCTTTTCGCCCTCCAAAGCTCCGAGCATCGTGGCCCCATCCGAAGAGGGCGCCATGTAGTGTTCGGTGCTGACCAAACAGCAGTTCTTGTGCTTGATATCCGTGTGCGTGCAGTCCAGGTCCTGCAGTTTTTGTTTCGGCACACAGGTGATATGACATGTTCAGTTAGCAAGATTCACATATATTGAACAGCATGTTGAAGTGAGCAAAAACAATCACGCACCCTGTATGAAATGCACATCACCACATATGCGACGAATGGGTGTTGTAGTTGTTAGACCCTGTGTGTGAATATTAGGGAAAACGACAACAATACGGTCGTACGGAGTCATACGTCAATACGGTGCATTCCAGAACTTGTTTGGATCGTTTTCTACTGTTTTTCAGAGAAACGCCAACACCTCGCAGCAGTCTTAGACATCGGATGGGATGAATTAACCTTGGGAAGTCTTAGGCCGGTGAACAGTTGGAGAACAATGATGCGTATCAGTTGAGTATCAAAGTCTTCGGGCAATGGAGGGTGGCTACAGGATGACTTCCTGCAACGGGTCGGAGTTGATCTTTGAAGATCTATAAGGTCCAAACATGTCCAAGAATTGTGGGGTTTCATCATGTTTCATCTTTCTGAACCCACCGTTTCTGACACTTTTGGACCGGAAACACTGAAGGTTCAATTCCAGTGTCACAGAGCTTGCCAGAGGTTCCAAACACCACGTGCTTGACTGAACACCTGCTTGTCGAAAACTTTGACAGAACACGGCCTGTGCTTGACATCCATTGGGACGCCACCACGCCTCGCCTGGACACCGAAAACGGCCGCAAACCGGTCGCCCTGCCTGCAGCACTTTCAATTGTTCTAAAAGCTGCCTCCTCAGTGCAAATGACCAGCAAAGGTCAGGCACATTCATGGGCTAAGTCAGCTTCTCAGGAGTCTAGCTAGTCACGAGTCCGATAAATGTTTGGGGTTCTTACTTCAGGTATAGGGAAAGGTGCCTGTGTGCGCGTTGGAGCCTTGGTGTTGGTGCCGCTGCAGGGTGCTTCGCACAAAGAAGTTTCCCTATCTGGGGTCTATGCTGGCGCAATGTGTTTATTGTTCAATGCGTTTCTGCTTGAATTATAGTCATAGTTTAATGTTTTGAATCTTAAACTAAAACAAGACGTCGTGTATAATTATATCATATAAAAACCAATTGTTGACAATACTTTAGTTTGATGTTGCTTATTTATATCACTGTTCTATGTTCACTGTTCTATGTATCTATTTTATTGTCGTAGCAGTATATAGTCGTTGTGGTGGTGGCGGCACTGGAAAACCACAGTTTTCGGATGCTGCTAGGCTCACAAACTGAGAACGCAACAACACAAACAACAAACAACCGAAACAAACAACGAACAAAGCAACCGGCCAACCAACAAGCAAGCAAACGAACGAACCAACGAAAAAAATAACCAACAACCTACTACTATCACCACCACCACCACTACTGCTACTGCTACTGCTACTGCTACTGCTACTGCTACTGCTTGTTAGCTTGTTGTTGTTTTCTCTGTGTTTTTTTTTTTGTCAGGTACCCCTGCGCGATTGATTGCCCAGGTACACCAACTTCTGAGATTGACCAGTGATGAAAAGAAACCTCTTAATAGAGGTTTTCTTTAATTCAAGTGTTGCAGGTCTCCAGCGTTGTGAAAAACGGATCTCGATGGATCGAAGCGAAGCGAGCGTGCGAAGCGTTCGCCCGAAGCGTTCGAAGCGTTGGTTTGAAGTCGAAGATGTGGGCCACAAAGAATTCCTATAGGCCCCAAAGAAGTATCTATCTCTATAGTCTCTAGCACAACATCCTCTACTCTACTGGATCTTAGACCACCATCCATGAAGGTTGAACGGAGGGCTCATGTAATACATGCCACCATCCAGTTACAGCCGGGCACCAGCACAGGACCCCAAATGGAGGAAAACAACAACATGTCTGCTGACCCATGCGTTCCCATCATCAGTCAGGTCCAACGCATGGTGGAGGACTCCCATGTTACACCCTGGCCGGAGGCAAGCTCTACAAACCAGTCTGTGATGGCCATGTGTCTGGAAGACATCGCTGACCATCCCTCGAACAGCTATAGCTGTTTAAGGACCAGCACCATTGGGCTGAATTCAGGATCCGGTTCGTTTTCAAAACCATTTTACCCTGGAAGACTATCATGGACCCTAAAAGCCACTGGTTAGAGGAAAATCGTCTTCCATAAGGGCCATTGTCAGGGTCTATGTCTATGTTAGTTTTCGAGAGTGTAAGCCACTCCAGATTTCACAATGGCATGGTTGAGGCCTGGGGCCCTTCACTCTGGTCCAAGGATCAGCAGGGTTCGGACCATCGAAAGATGGAGCCCTCGGTTCCCGTTGCTGCGCACCAGGTCAAAAAGGGAGGCATCCAGCCATTCCTCAAGGAGTGGGATCGTTGGAAGCAGCCCGGGAAGATCAGGATATGTGGAAATGACAATTCAAAATGACATGTTTAAAGATTTCCCCCTTCCAACATCCATGTAACAAACACCTCCCCTCTGTTTGGGATGTGATGTGTTTTCACATCGTTTCATTTCTGGTTGACTTTCACTCGTCTACTTTCAAGCCTGGCTGAGCAGCTCCACTCCAAGACTACCAGACCAGACCAAGGCAAACAACCCAAATCTCTTCCGATTTCTCGCGGAATGATTGATGCCAAACACTTAATATATAATCCCCAAACGCTCCACGTATGCCATATATGCCTACATTGACCCCCGTGGCACCACCCCTGGCCGTTTCTCGGCAGTCCTATGGCAGTCGACGGGTCGCGTCTGGGATCAATAATCCCAAAGCAACACCACTGGGATCCGATCATGAGACTTTCCCAATGGCCACTTTCTCTCGTCCACGTTTTTTGCAAAAAAACACGAAAAAAACACGTTGAGCACCGAGGTCGCAGGATCGAGGGCTTCGGCCATCCACGTGTGGGTTTCCACACGCGTGCTGGAGTGGTCCTCTTTGGTCCGAGTCTCCAGGATCAAACACCAATACTCCTGCAGCCGGGCGACTCCGCCCATGCGCAGTTCAAGGCGGAGTCCATGCTGATATTGAATCCTTCATAGTCTTGTGCTTTTGTTTTAAGATGTATGTACTCACCTGAACTACTCACCTCTGCAACAAAAGCTCATATATATATATATTTATTCATGTAATCTATGTAATACTCATAAATATAATACATATATATATAATATATTACAGATGCAATTCGAGGAGGTTGACCTCCATTTCTGGTAGAAGGATGCTATGATCTATCTGAGGGATGAAGAGTAAGTATGTAATCACTATATTAATCTAGTTTATATACTGTAATAAGGAAACAGTGTGTCTAGCGGTTCACCATGGTTCACCTGATTTCTCTTTGGGTCGTCAGAGTCATATGCCGGCATAGGTTGCGTGAGTCTGCCGTGAAGAACGTCAGAGTCGCATCTCAAATCCATGGAACGACATGCCAGTCGAAACACCTCCACAGTCATTGGATTACATGGTCCGCTGTCATGTACGGTTCGCCTTGCCTGACCCACATCGTCTTTGGTGGGAAAGGAGTCCACACAGCGCATGGTCAGAGGCTCCAAGCCTGCTTCACCTGGAGATAGGTCATCGGAGTTCTACTGTTGAGTCTTATCCCTTTCTGCCCAAGAACAAACCACCCTATTAGCAGTCTTGTGAGCTCCAATGCCTGTGAAAAAAGGCTTCGGGGAGTCAGGGAAGTCAAGTGCCATAATCCAGAGGTGTTCTGCATGGACCATCTGTTAGGCAAACGTTAGGGCAACATCTTAGAGGATGGTCTCGGCTTCCTCATTTTAACTCACTGGCAGCGAGCAAGCCTGGGATCTGGCCACTTGAGGCCCTCTGCCTTGTGGCCACGGGGGGGGGGTCTCCCTTCCATTCCCTTTCAAGTCGTAAAAAATATCTTGGTTTCCTTCTGCCATGTTCTCAATAGTGGGCCCGGTCACCGCACTAAAACACAAACACCACTCCGAGCCACAACGAAGAACCGGGTCGACATCTCGCCATCGCCGGTCGATGGCAAACAGGACATGTGGGTCGATCCACAGCAGGGGATCGACCTTGAGCTGTTGGTCTGAAAATCCCTAGGGCTCTAACCATATCCTCAAAAGAAGGTGGTGAGACCCCCTGGCACCCACCCACGCCAAGCACCGAACCTGAGGATGTGGTTGGAGCCCAAGGGAATAAACAAACTGGAGGATTTATGAGGAGTCATTTCTCAGGGGAGATAGCCGACCCAAACCATAGATGTTGCCTAATTACAGGGTCAGGTTTTTGGAGCTTAAGGTCCACCATTTTGGAATATTTTGGAGCTTAAGGTCCACCCTTTGCAAAGGGATGATGCTCTCCAATCCGCATCTCTCTGAACTACGCACTCGACAGGTGAACGTGACCATGTCGATTTGGGTGCCTCTCTCCCAAAGCGTGTTGCGTGTGGCGTGTTGGCACGGCCGGGACGTTGTTGTGACTCCAAGCGACGTTGTTGTGACTCCAAGCGCTGTAAGAGCTCACCCTCTTTGGGGCCATTGGAGGTGTACTGGATGTAGGAATCCTCCTGAGGAACCGTTCGGAACCCATCTTTTGCAGGGATCCAAACACGTCCAAACATTTCAGATGCTTCTGAAGACCAAGCCAACGCTCCCAGTGATCCCAGTGTAGTATGGACAGAACAGTATTAGACTGGTACATATTGGCATATATTGGCTCCTATGGAACAACTCCATCAATTGCATAAGTGTCACTCTCCAGACCATCTCTGTCCCTGCAACAACGGGTGTGTCTCGGGTGTGTCTCAGACCAACCAAGGACTCCGCGACAAAAGACGAACCCATGACCAACACCCAGTGGTTGCAGGATCCCCCTACCACACTCAAATCAATGGCCAAGCATCCTTGCGCATGACTTTGGCCGCAAAGACCTCCCCACGGCTCTTCGTCCAGCGGTTTCTTGCCCCCTCGAGACTTCGCGCCACGGTTCGCGGGGTCGTCTCAACCCGCACGCGGAAGACACGGCTGAAGGAGCCTTGGCAGTGCACCGGTCAGGGACCTGGAACCTGCTAGGATGGGTCAGGGACCATGGTGAGAAGCGGTGGATGGCGCCAGGACACCAAGAAGACACCGCCCGGGTCCTTTTGAATCTGCCAAGGAGCCACTGGCAACATAGTCCTCCACAATGTAGGTGACCCCTGAAGAAGTCGGCAGATGATGTTTCAACATCCGCGACACGCGCATGCTCGCTAGCGCGCTTCCGAGACGCTTTAAGTAAATCACTCATGTTGATGCAACATAAAACAATATTTGCCGCACTGATTGACTGTACACAGTATACACTCTACTATTCTTCATCCCTCGTGCTGCTGTTTTTTGTCTGTAAAACGTCAACAGTAGATGCTTCTCTTCCCATGATGTGACAAAACGTCCTCCCAGGAATTTGTCAAGTCCTCGAGTCCGAAAATGAGGCTCCAAAACACTTTGACATGGAGACAAAATGAAACACCTCTTCAAAGGACAAAACGCCACATGATCAAACGTTTGACAAAGAAAACACCAAAAAATGGTTTCATCATGTTTCATCAACGTGAAACTCTCGGTTTGAAATGGTTTGAAATATAGTTTAATGGTGTCACCTCATGCTGTCTTGCATGTAAGCTACGCTACATTGAACCGCAGGGCCCACATGGCTGATCATGGCTGTGGGTCCAAAACGAACCCCAAATGGACGGCCAACGGACCAACCTGAGTAGTCTACTTAGTATATGTGCACTGGTCAACCGGGTTCGTATCCACCCAACGGCGGAACCCACGGACGGGGGCCGACGCGCAGCGCTAGCGCCTCGTGGGGAGCCGTCCAAGCGCATCCCTTTGGACCAACGGACGAAGCTCGGGTCATCCGTAGGCTTCTGGGGTCCCTTCCTGGAGGCAGCCAAATGCTGGAACTCAAGGGAGTATCTGCCAACCAAAGAAGACCCAACTTTTCAATTCTTTTCAATCACGTTTCTTTCGTCTGGCACCTTGGCGCTTCAACACCCGCGCCCCTGGGGGACCCCTGGCACCTGGGCGCCGTGGAGTGGTGGGCAACAGCAACCCTCCCTCCAAGTGCCCATGGATCTGGACAACCCCATGGAAAGCGACCAACTGACCAACTGCCCAACCAGGGAGTGACCGGAGTGACCTTCGAATTGACCATTGTTTGTAAAGGACAGTCGCCTTCCAGGGGCGGCCATGCCATCCACGGCCATCTTTCTGTGGTCCAGTGGTCCAGTCGCGAACCTCCAAAAACATCAAAAAACAAAGAGAGGGGTCTTGCGCTGTGAGCGTGTGTATTTCTTCAGTAAAAGCAGCTATTCTTTGACAGCCTTGCAACATGACATGCACATACTCACACTGCTGTCCTCTATCTTAAGTCACTCGTGTCTCGTGTCATCTTTATTTTTGTTTTTGGCTGTAGCTGGCGAAGGCCTTAAGCTACGAAGACCTGGAGGAGATGGTCGAGGGGCTCACCACCCTCGACACCATTCCAACCAATGTCACACCAGAGTAACAACCGTCATGGTCTTTTTGACTTTGCATCTCCCCCCCAAAGGATGATCTTGAACTTTCAAGCCAGCCTCTGGTTCACTGCATCGATATCATGTATGATCATGAGGAAAACATTGACTTCCACACATTGGGCCGCCATTACAAAGAAGCTTGTGACAAGCAAGACTGCAGCTTCTGCCCGCCCCTTTGGGTTTGAAGTCTGCTGTGCCAACAAAGGTCATAATGCAGATATGAGAAACACATCTGACCATTACACCAGTGTGAAGCATTTCGGGTCAAGGTATCCAGCTCGTCTATGGCACACCCTACAGATGAGGATGACCAGATTGACGCGGGGCACCAAAAATCGGAACTCAACAATACCAAACATACAAACGAGGGACGGTCAAAACTCCTTATCCTTCTTCAACGAAAAAATGGACGTCATCGGTTTTGAGTTGGACCTTATCGTTTTACAGTGTTTTGAGTTCGTCGCATACTTATGATATCTTATGATCATATACTGGGGTTCGGTTTTGAGGTGGACCTTATCGTTTTGCAGGGTTTTGCGCACAAACCTACCCCTCTTTACTAACGTGGTCTTCGCATGTTTTGACCATAATATCAAATGATGCATAATAAAGCATAATACCAAGACTGCAAGGAATAGGGTCCATAAGGGGCCAACTATTCCTCTACAGGATTAGTATTTGTTGGATTCTTGGTGTTTTTGGGGGGGGGGGCACTGGTTATTTTGCTATGGGAGTTGTATTTTTTGTATTTGTTGTCTACCCCAAACGGTTTCTCTGCAGGATTGGTATCTGCAAGAAGCGTGCTTTGATTTGGCATAGTTAATGCATGTTAATGCATTAATGAAAGGCATCTGCAGGAAACAATCAAAAAAAGCACACGCTCAGCACGCTGGTTTCTGAAAACAAAGAAACATTTCACAACGAACCTTCACGCAGGCAAACACTCACCTGAAAAAAAACACCTGACCAAATCCAACCAGTCACAGTCTTCATCAAAAATATCTAACGTTCAGCTTGACTGCCATGCTTCAAGGGAGTTCGCTCCACATGGATTGGATCAAACGTAAAGGCACTCCATCGTTTTGGTCGGATCACTTCATGGGTTGGAACACGTTCAATCCAAGTGGCCCACCGGAGCCTCCCTTGGAGCCGCCCTTGGAGCGGGCACCGCCCTTACCTGGACGTGGGACGTGGACCACCGCGGGACGTGGATTGAGTCTGGGTGAAGGCGGAAGTCAGGCCCTGGGGGCCCTGGGCCCCGGGGGGCCTCGTCTGACCATGTCTGACTTCCTTTTGGATTCTTTCGCCGAATACGACGACTCCTGGAGAAGAAGACGTCGGTGATTGGAGAAGAAGCGGCTCTGTGCCGACATGTTTCAGGGAAAAGCTCAGTGCGGAAATGAATCCAACAAGATCTGTTTCCTGCCCATGGCATGTGAACACAGACCCCGCAGGAAACAAAGAAGTTAAGCATCTCCAATTCGATCTCCAGGGTGCCTCTGCCACCCATACGTTGCGAGGGTTCCCGTCGCCACAGCACCGTGCCCACGCCAACGATGCTCGCCGCGTCGGGAAGGGGACACCAGGCAGCGGTCGTGCAGATGGGACTGGCAGGTGGAAGCTTGCTGCCTAAGGGGCCGCCCAGAAGAAATGCTCGGGCCATCGTGGCTGGCGCGAGCAGGCAGCAGGGCCATCGTGGCAGAGGAGTGGAGTTCGTGAAAAAGGTTCCGGACAAAGTCGCAATTGGGCATCCAGTGACCACTATAGCTGGTAACCACTTCTGAAGATTGGAGCAAAGTGCCAAGACTCACTGTTACTCAACTCCTTGCACCCATAGCTATTGACCACTGAGAGGTTCCAAAGACAAAAAAACCATAGACCTAGACACCCTGGAGTGAAACCCTGGACTATAGTGTGGTATAAATAAAGATTGCTAAAAAAAAAACATTCGCCATCTACTCCCACCCTGGTTCCCAACTATCGTGGGAATCCACTCATTGGGGATTCTTCCTCCAACGGTCGCCTCCCAGGGCGTCCAGGGCTGCTCTGGACGGTTTGTAGTCTATTCGCTTCGTTGGGTGGTGAACCCGGGTCCCCAGGTCCCTTGATCTTGAAACAACCATATGAAAGGGTCGATCCAATCCAAACCCAGCCACTTCATTCCACTTCCTTGCTTTCTCCTGCAGTTCAAGCACTCTAATTGTGAGGAAACTACATTGGGGTCTGAAGATCTCGGACATTGGAGAACCCTCGGGTGAGCCTTCTGCTCGCGTTTCAGGAGTTTCAGGAACCACGAGAGGGGTAGAAGATGGTAGAAGTGTGTGTCATCGGCTCCAAAAACCCGCCATTTTCAGTGGCACTTTCCCAAGTCTTTGCACGTACTCCCTGCGGACCACCTGGCCCGAGCTGGACCGTGCTCATCTTTTCTCAGCGAGAACCCGGCAGAGTCTGGGTGGCAAGGAGACCTGGGCGCAGCGGCGATCTGCGGCGGCACGATGAACGAAACACTTCCAGTGCAGTGCGGCAGTGCGGTAGACCATCATGCAGTTGTATACACTCATTATACTTGTATACAGTATAGATGTTAGATTACATAATCGTATTTTGACAATTATGAGAATTATGTGAACTTTGAAGTCAATTCAATTGAAAACAGGTCTTCTGTCTGGTACAACCCAACGAAAACGGCCGGCGGCTTCTGCACAGCAGTTGCACAACCAGATTCCTCGCCACGCCGCAAAACGACGCGACAGCGCGAGTCACCGGGAGTGAATGCATTAAGACCACATGACGCTGATTTTTGTCTGCGCATCGCACGACTCAGCGGTACGAGGCAGGCACACGATCACCTCAGCAAAGATCCAGATTCAAACGATTTCTTGGGAGATCAAGTCAATACTTACCAAGATATTCTAATGGGCGAATCAAAACACAAAAAAAGGCTTCCACAAGCCTTCCACGTGCATCTTTGGCAAGGCTCGTGCATCGGCCTTTGGCCTCTACTATCCTCTGCTTAGAATCCAGGCCCACTGAGAGAGTGATGGGTGGTGGTCAAGACTTTGTATAGGATGTTCACCTGCCATATCCCGCGACGTATCTATAGCTTTTGGCTCATATCCATTGCACAAACAGTGGTATATATACAAATATGTATAATGTTCAATGTTCAATCCATTTCAGTCTTCCTTTCTTTCTTTCTTGTCACTGAGGCTGCAGCATCAGGCTCAATATAGCCTTTGAGTCGTCTGAGGGCTGGAGCAAGCTCCTAAGATGAATCTGACTAAGCAAGGATGCGTGAGGCACATAGAAGGAATACATGGACCAGTGGAAAAGAATTGAACCTCCACTCCACTGCATTGTCTTGTTCACAACCTCCATGTTTACTTGCCAGGATAGGACAGTATCATGATAGTATCACCTCCCAACCGCTCCGAGCGCAAATCAAAGCAGACCGTCGTGTGCAAAATTGATCCACCAACCACCCGTGGATCTGGGGAATCGACTTTGGTAGGTAGCCGGTTCCTCCAAACGGTGCTTCTGGGGATCAAAGCTCCGTCTGTCCGTTCTGTGTCTGTCTGCCTGCCTGACCGGTTGGAAAACTGCACAGTGCCACTAGCCCATCGTTTCTTGTTCCGAAACATGCAGGTGTTGCAGGTGAGTTTTGGTTTCATCTGTCACCAATATATTGAGAGAGTCTTGAGATCCGGTAACATGTTTTGGGGCTGCGTCTTTGCAACGCCCCCCCGGGCCACAAACTTAACCAGGCAACTGGCATCTCGTCTGAGAGAACTGGTGCTGAAGGTGACGGGTGAAAAAACACCAAGCGCCCGATCCCAAAAATCACCAACAAGTCTCCTAGGCAGGTTTAACATGTGTTTTTTTTCAAGAAACTTAGTTGACCTGGCAGTGAGACTGGAACTTCCCCAGCGCCCAGTCACTTGCTTTTGGCATTCACCAGGGAGATGGTCGCATGAACACTGCTCGCTGGCATCGCCTGGAGGACGGGAAATGTTCCGAGCATCACTGGCAGACAAAAGAACACGTTACTTCCAGGACATGGAATACTTCAGGCAAACAACAGTTTATGCTTGTTAACCATGTTCAAAAACGCTGTATGGTCAGCTGCGGATCGAATTACCAAGTCCAATTTGCGTGGCAGGTGCGGGAAAGTCAATTATCACACCGTTTTAAAATTGTACTAATAAAAGGCTTTCCGGTGTGAAAAATGGCCGCCCACACGGCCCCAGGTATCTGAATGTAGGATTCTAGGGGGTTGAGGGTTGACATGAGTTTGTGCCTCAAGAGGCGCAACTTTTGTCTGGCCAGTGTGTATATATCCGCCGACCCCAGCCGATGGCGGGGGAGCGCGCCAGAGAATTTTGCTCATCACCAACCCCCTTTTAGCCCAAAAACACCACCTCTGTTACATACGTAACTGTTCTCTGTTACCGTGCATCACTGGAGCTCGAGACCGGGCCCAACCCCAGCTCTCCGCTCTCGCCTCCCGAAGCTGCGCTCTCAGCTCCCCAAGCTTCGTCTTCCGCCGCACCTTCAGCTCGGCCACCACGTCGCCCGCCAGGCTCCGTGCGACTAGGCGCCAGGCGGACGTCCCCTCGTCACCTGGGAGAGGAAGCGTCGCCGGGCGGAACGTGCTTCCTATCAGCACTCCACGGGACTGCATATGTACCTGGGCCCCCAGGTACACAGTGTGTCGAATTCTAGCTCCTTAGAGGTTAAGGGATGTCCATTAACCACCCCTTAAGGGGTGGTATAATATGTTGCTATATTATACACATGTCACATGCCCACATGGATATGTTTGTTTATGCTGACATGGACCCCTCTTCAACCACCCCAATGTAGGCACATATGCCGGTCCCAAACTGGTGGTGTCTCGATAGTATGATGGTCCAACTTTTACAGTATGTCACATGTGGGTCGTCTGTCAGGATATAGCGCCCACATATCGCTCATCATACATTGGTATATGACTACAGAGTCGACAGAAGGCAATATGACCTAACGAATGCCAACAAGTCCTTTCCCGGCTGGAACCCGGGATTCCTGTGTCAGTTTCACGCGAAGAACATATCAAGGTTGTTACACTCTGCCCCCCCAAAGAGGGGTACTACAACTTACTGCTCCGCCAAGTGACTTTCGATGTCCACCTCGATGACCCGCAGCACAAACTCCGGGTCCCACCAAACCTTGTAACGTGTAGGTGGATAGCACTCATCACTGGCACGGCAAAGCTGATCCGTGATGATGTAGACGGGATAATCTCCTTAGATGTGGTGTGGCCTGGAATGTCTGGGCAACTCTGCATGAGAAGCTGGGAACAGCATCAAACCTCCTCCACCAAGTGCTTTTCGCTTTGTTCACTTTGGGGCTTCCGCCTTTGGCAATTTTTGGGGTGATGACTGCGCCAACTTGGCATCACAACGCAGCTCCTGCTAGCCAGATCTTGAGCATGTGTTCTACTGGGACCGGGAATATGTCTCGTCAGAAAGAATCCAAAGAGCAAACACTATGCAAATATGCGGCACAGGTACCATCCATCCAATACCTGACAAGAGGCCGGCTTGCTTCAAAGCGATCTGCGAGTGAGTGCATCAAAGGTATCACCCAAAAGAATGAGACTCTAGTAAGGCTAGTGGACAAAATCCTGCATCAAACACAACGCACGGTATTGTACCCCTGTGTATTTTGCTAGTGCAGTATTCATGTGTTCCCCCATCAATAGTACCAGGAGAGTTCCCAAAAAACCGCGGTTTGAGGGGCCTCAGAATCCCTTTCTGCAAATAATGTATGCACGTATGCACATGTATAATATACAGTGTATATATATATATACCTTAAACCTCCGGTGCTTGTCTCAGCCTCTTAGCAGAGAGGCTCAAATGTTAGCCTCTCCATTCAAGAGTTGCCGCTTAGAACAAAAACTGCCTCTCGTGCTTTTCTGGTAGAAGGGAATCTTGTCATGTGTAATGTTTTTGGTGGTCTTCCGCTGCTGCTGCTGCCGACAGCTATCAACATGATATCAACATGATAAAAGATTATCGGTCAAACCCAAGCAAACAGACTTTCATCATGCTTGCTAGCAACTGCGTCCAAGCCCAAACCAGCCGTTTGAGTTTCATCATCAGGCAAGACGTAACTCTCCGAGGTGTTTGGCGTTTGGAGGTCTTTCAAGGCAGAGGTCATAGGAGTAGGCAGTTGCTGGATTTGCAACCTGAGCGCCTGCAACCGGCAGAAAACAAAGCTAACATGTTTAGCCAGGAAATGTTCAGACCAAAACACTGACTAGAGGTGAGTATCAATACCTATAGAAACGAACAGCCCCACCTGCGGTTGTTGCAGCTCTGACATCAGGGTTGCATCGTCACCATCAAGTTTGTCCACATCTTTCTCTTCTTTCACTAACGTCAAACCAGCCATGAGGGTCGAACTCGAAAAGACACGGGATGGAAGCTGATACGCCATTTCCCCTTTCGAGTAGAGACGAGCCTGAAAGCGGCAACCTGTCGACTTAATTAAATACTATGCCAAAAATTCATAACCCAGGAATTCCGCCTCTTACCCGGGAAGTTCCGCCTCTTACCGGGAAGTTCCGCCTCTCGTTGTTTCACGTGTTTCATGGTTTTGCTTATGTTGCATGTTTTTCATGTGCTTTAATGTGTGTTTTCGTGTATTTTGCGTTTTTCATATGTTTCATGTGTTATTTTTTTCATGTGGCTCTCCTGTGCTTTCATGTTTTTCATGTGGCTTTCATATGTTTCATGTGTTTTCATGTATTTCAGGTTTTTCATGTGCTTTTCATGTGTTTCATGTTTTCATGTGTGTTTATCAAATTGCGCGATATCATGTTCATATTTGCAATTTTCCTTGCAAAAAAGACCCCCACAAGTCCGGTTGGACCTGCCTGAAATGCAGGTGTTGAAGGGGAAAGCCGGACTTGTGGGGGTCATTTTTCGCAGGCAACTCCAAATGGAAAATTAGCAGTTCATATATATCTATATATAGTTTCATGTTGTGTGCGCTCACTTTTCCACAGTGAGTTATCGTGCCTTCATGTGTTTCACGGTTTATCATGCTTGAACCTTTTGAATGCATATAACTTATGTTTGGTTCATGGTTCGGGGTTTGTGGTGTTTTTCCTATATGTTAAGTGTATAAGTTTCATTGTTATCACGGTTATCATATGTTCTATCAACATAACTGGGGAGAAATCTATGTAACACAAGAATCGCCTCTTGCAAAAAAAATTGCCTCTCAGTTCCTAGAGGCGCCTTCTAGATTGGAGGCGCAAAAAGTGCAGCCCTAGGAAGATTCAGGTATATATTTATCTGCATATAGTTCGGACTTGCCCCAGAACACATTACAGTGAGCACAAAGATGGGCACCACTGTACGCGCATGGTGGTTCTTCCGACAGGATCGGAACCTCCAGTTCGGGCACCTCCGTCGTTCCGTCGCTCCGGGCCGAGAGACGTGTAGTAGTCCTGGCCTCAGATCGGTCGCCACCCCCAGGTTACGGGTCCTAGAATGATCACTTAACCTCTCTTGGCCATTGGGTGTCCACCTTGTACTAGCCGAATCTTTCCTGCACAATGTGACACGGGTGACTCCGAGATCTACTCCCGAGTAGGGTAGGCCTTTTCCAGTGCCCGATCGATTTGGCGCACGTCAAGGGGAATGCCATATATTAGATTAGATGGTCAATGGTGAATCACTTCAGTTTGGCATGGCTGAATCACATGTTATGCTTTGGCATGGCTCGTCAGCCGGGGGATGGGCTGACTGAATGGGGCCTCCACTCGCCGACACTAAAGGAAGAGAAACGCCCTTGACTCTCCAGCAACTTGAACACTATGGATCAACACCCGTCAACCCAGAACACTTGAGGCCGAGGGTTGGTGACGAAAGCTAGCAGGGCGGGGGTGATTATAGAGCCAACAAACAGAGTTATCAAACGAGCTGCCCACAACCGCCAACACGGACAAAAAGCACTGCACAACGCGGAACCAGCCAGCAAACCAGCAGAACAATGACCATGAGGACAATGACAACAGTGACAAAGACAACAAGGAAATCAACAAACACACTACTACAAACCACCAACACAAACGCACCACCACAGCCAAAACACACCTCTTCAATAAAGTAGAGTATACATCCAAGATCATCCAAGTCACCCTGTTTCTTCTCCATGTGGTACATACCATAGCAACAGTCCTTCTCATCCTTCTCCGCACCCGAAACCTTCGTCTTGGGGCTTCGTGTGTTGCCCTCCAGCGGTAAAAAGGCAAAGCGCGAGTGCGATGGAGCCTCGGACGAGTTTACGGTTGTTCGGTGGGGCGAGGGGAGTGGACCCGGCTTCTCCGAAAGTCACATGGTGGTGTTCTTGAGTAGAGAAGGATGGAGTTTCAAGTTTTTTCGAGGGGCCTATGTATTTTATTCACACTTTCCATGGATCATGTATTTATATAGAAAGTGTGCTCGGACAGCAGGTCATAACATCCCACAACTACCAACTATGCCTCATGCATCCTCATGCCAGGTTGCGGGGGTCTTGTAGCACCTGAATGCACATGATGGATTTTGATGTGTCAGATCCTGAATCTTCACGGGCCAACTCGGAGCTGTCTTTGTGCCAGCCAGGTCTAATCGGGAAAGGGCTGAAGGGCAACCAAAATGAACGAAAATCAATGTCAAAAAGGAAATTGCACGGAAACTTTGCCTAAGCAATCGTCGACTCAGGACTCCATATATCAACTTCATAAATTCATACCCTGCACCGCCGGTACCATCCGGTACCTACAGAACACACACTTGCTATGAGCTCCAAGTTCGGGTAGAGTTTGGAGCCTTGGCTGTCATGTCAGAATGAGAACCAACCGTTCAGAGCCAAGCACCAAGCCTGGACTGAACGTTCATGGCCAACTTACCACATGCCGCCCTCCCCGCGGGAAACACCCGCGCCCACCCACAACTGTCGGATCTGCCACAACATCCGTGTTCTGCGCAGTCCGAGCGTCGAGGTCGGCGACGAAGTATTCGGGCCCAGGGCCCTCGTCGTGTTCGCTGACGTAGCAGGGCGGACCCTCAGCCAGGCGGAAGGTGTAGACGTAGGCCTGAGGACTCCGGTCAACACCATGGCCATATGAGGTGGGGTCGGTAGATGTTTACCTTTAGTGCAGGTGGTTGATTGATCTGATCTTGGCCTGTGGGCGGCTATACACGCGTGTCTTCTATAACGTATATATCATATCTACCAGTTGGTGGGTCAAGTGTGGTTGCTTGGATGAAGGGAGAACGAACAACTAAAGGCCTTGGACCTGAGTGTTGAAACAAGTCTAGGCCGAAGAAATACCCTGGCCCCCTATTTGACAATGGCAAAAATCCTGAAACATGAAACTCCGCAAACAAATGCTTGTCCATATTGCTATCTATGGCATCATATAATCATATGGTATCAAAGATTTGCTGAGAAATACTGAACGACAAGTTTGCTTTTGAAACAGCCGGATCCATGGGTTCAATCGCATCCGAGCGGCTTGTGGTACTGTGACTCCACCTAGCAAGAAACATCTCACATTCCCCAAGAGGACCTTTGTCGTGGGAGTTCTGTCATTGAAAGCCCAAAGCAAGTATGTGAAAGTTTCGATCTTACTCCCACACCCACTTCATGCATCCGACATCATCCGACGTATACTGCAGGATTCGGATGGATTCGCCTGAAACATTTCTTCGAACACAAATGGATGAATCAAGGAAAATCACCTTCATCCAGCTCCGGAAGCTTCAAATCATTCGCACATCAAGTTTGTTGACGCCCAAGAGATGAATTTACTGCTCGCACGACCAGCCCATGAGCCAACCGAAGCATCATGCATCGTGAGACCATATCTCTCTGAACAATGCTTCAATGAAGTCTGATGGTGGGGAGGTCAACTGTTTCACCCCCCTCAAAGCTAGGAAGGGCCCGCTTGTCCACGGTCCCCCGCTTGTTCCATGATGCTTGTCCCCGTGGTGCGGACCGGTGACGGCGTGCCAGCAGCCCGACATGGTGTTCATCGCAGCGAAATTGATCATGTCCTCTCTCACTAACCAAGAGAGGTAGCCAGTGACCTGAACTAGGACCTTACTGGGGTACCTATATGGGATAGGCTAGTTACTAGTTCGGCTCCTTCAACCTCCGTTGGAACGTTCAGGGAGTTCTGTGATCTCGTCGACCGAAGCAAAACCACCGTCCGGGTACGTGGACCCACGCCTGGCAACGTGAGAGGATTCACCACGTCTCCTGGCGAAGCGTTGGCATTGGCGAACCACACATTGCACAGGGATCCACTGAAGGTAGTGCTATGACCGGACCCTCTATGCCTATGTTTCTTCGATCACCCTGCAAAAAGAGGGTGGCAGTGGATCCATAGGGTTCCGGGGATCTGCGTTTTTGGGGATCGTCTTTGGGGGTTCCTGTGCTTCGTTTCCGGGATCAAAGGCCAATACTGGATCCAAACGATGTTGTTTTGGGCCAAATCTCCTTAGCCTTCTTTGCTTCCGCAAATCTCTTGGGCTTGACGCGTCATGGCGATTTGTATCTGCTACATGAGAGACTTGGGCTGAAGAGCTCTCCGCCACAGCCTGAGACCATAGAAGTGGAAGTACGGTGCGCTAGAAACCCGGCAGGATATCTGCAAGTCTCTGAAGTTGGATTGCTGCATGTCAAGAAAGAAAACACTCTGCTGATGGCTGCATTCCAACTTGGTGGCTCTTCAAATGATTCAACAAATCTGTGGTGGAAGATATGGTCTGTGGGGAACTGCGAGACGATCAATTTCATTGTTTCGTCTTGCGAGGATGTGACACTCAAATGTGTTCAGCCAACGGATGTCTTTTTGTGCATCCAGCTCGGAAGGAATGTCAGCTGATAGCCAGCGGGTACTCCAGCGGGTCTAAGGTGACAAACGGTCACCATCTGGTCTCATCATGAATGTCTGACCCTGTGATGCTTTGAATGCTCTGGGAACCGCGGGCAAGAATGACATCACTTGTATCTATCCTATATTACCAGTAACTTATGTCTATAATGATGATGGTGGTTATTAAAGGCCTTTCTCTAACAATAGTGATATTATATGTGTTTGCTGATTGTTACGGGTATATAATGGGACAGATCCAAAACATCACATATACCCCGACTCATTAACACGGAAGTGGAAAGCCACGCTGTTGGTCTTTGCAACATCGGCGATGTTCCAGAGGAGGGTCAACATCCTTTCACAAGCCATTCTCATTATTTGCTCATGGCTGAGTGTTCATGGGCTCCATGCGCGGGGTCTCTTTTCGAAGCACATATTCCTGGGGCGAGCCCCAAATGTTCACCATTGGACCATCAAAATCACGTGATGTTTGGTGATTTAATGTTCATCATAAATTCATGGTTAAATGTTTAAACCATTGGGGGATGTTTAGATGTTTAGATTAGATGATTAATCACATGTTTAAACTAATCTAATCTCTTGACCCATCCATGCAGCCACTGTCAAAAGGGAATGATGTAGCCACGGCACCTCTGAAGTCATGTTTGGAGCACGGCCACCTCCCACCGCGGTCCTCCTTTGGTTTGGCCCAGCTCCTCGAAAATAAACGTGGGCGCCTCTTCTTTGGAGAAGCCCAACATCAACGCTTGCGAATCTGGGACGTCCTCACGGGATGAGTTGGATGATGGATCTGTTCGCCAGCATGTACAGGTGATTCGAAAGGGAACTAATGCGTCAAACGTTACAGGCTTAGGGTGTTTACATGTGTTTACACTCGTAAAGGTCCTTAGACACGGCGTCCAGTATGCAAATATGGTCGATTCGAGTCTTGTTTCTTAAGGGAGCCCCATGACGGACGTACGCAAACTCCGCGAAGCATGGCGATCATGACACATAAGGATGCACTTCCCGACACTGCTAAGGAATGTTTGGACTGTACAGAAGCAGGAACATGGACACACACACAGACACACATATGCTGGCATTGTACAGGTCGACCAGCTCCCTTGTCCACTGCGACTGATACATTGCAAAAGAAGCTTGGATGGCCTCGCACCTCTCACACGCACGTTGATCAACAGTAGGATCACGCAGTGATCAACCATATGGTAGACACACGAAAACACCTCCTATGACAACGCAATATGACAAAAAGACTTACAGTACCAGCTTGGATACAACCACCAGCCCAGTGCTCGCCCGAACCATTCCTTAGGTCTAAACCATTCCTTAGGCTTAAAGCTTAACCAGTTCGGAGTAGGTGGCAAAAGCACATCCGCAACTGTTTGGACTGTGAGCCATCATGCTAGTCACCATGGTTGCACAAACCGCCTTGTCCTCTCTGTCAAGCAAATCACCTCTCGTAGAATACCCTGGCCTGGGCGCACCGTGGCATTTTTTTGCTCTGCTTGACATGCTCCGTTCGCACGTGCAGTGCATGGTCGCTCGGTCTCGGGGCACGACCGACGACGGAACCATCGTTGAAAAGCATGGGATGGAATGCGCATGGACTTCGTCCAGCATGGGATGGGATTGCACTGATTGTACCCTGGAAACCAGTGATTGATCTTGGCTGGGTCTGAGTCAGGACCGGACAGGCCCAACTGGTTGTTCATGATGGCGATTTATGTTGTCTCCACAGCTGCCATTTTTTGTTACAATAATCCTAATCCTCGGGAGTAAAACATGTGTTGCTATAAATGAAAGTTTGAAAGAGAACTTTTCCAGGATATCAATCCTATACAGTCTAATATGGTATAACATGGTATAACTAACACTCTATAATCTAACCAACTAATGGGCAAGTTTTGCCGCTGCACCCACGCAACTCGGGCGCAAGCACCCGCAGGTGCCAGCACTGAAGAACCGGATTGAAAGTGGCAGGAACAGACAAAACTGGAGGACAACAGTGCTGTTTTGCAGCCATTGTGTGAACTTGACCACTGTCGATCACGGGCCGATGGGCCGAGCGTGTGCCGTTCAGTGGCTTTATACGTATATACGTTCCTTAAAATCTCGTATCTGTCGCCCCACATGCAATCATATTTGTTGTCTTCAGCCCGGGCTACATGCCAAATGCAAGTTACTAGTCCTGTTGCCTGCAACATCCGGCACCCAACCACACCCTGGCCCAACCATGGTTGAACCTGGCGCTGCACCTTCCGCCAAGTCACGGCGGCCCAACCCCTCAGGGCACGGACTCGGCGTGGACGGCGTGACAGTTCTCGTAAGAAAAGGTGTGATGGGTTTCTCGGGCCGACTGATTGTATTGAGGATAGTGTAACAATCAGTGTGATCTAACACAGGTTTAGAAGGTATAACCTTAAAAAAAAGACACTGGATTTGCTATGTGGTAGCGTCATACTATTGCTCGCATATTCCTCCCACATTCACCTTCCATCTGGAAGACCTGGTTCAGAAAACCCCTATGAAACTCACATACTTGGCCCCTATGATGGCAGCCTGGTGAACATCATACGTGGGGCACCCCCACCAACAATTACCTGGGTCAAAGGCACGACCGGCTGCCCTAACCAATCCCTGTGGCCCAACCGGCTGCCCGAACCGCTCGCTTTTCACCAGGGCGCCGAACCAATCGACAGCGTCGGACCCGTCCACACAGCCCAGCTTAAAGCGCCGTCCATGCCAACTGTGGGAGGCCTCAAGAGGCTGGAGGGGGTCGGACAGCAAGGGTCGTGACAGCCTGAGGGGAGAAGGTCAAGGCATGTCAAGGCCAATGTTCTTGTTGGTGAACTCGTGATGCGGCACGATCTGTGCTGGAGTGTTTACATGGCCGCGTGAACATGCGTGAACACCACTGTTTTCCATACATAAACCTGGCAAAATCCTGCGGGTGCTGACACACTCACTTTCTTCAGAGGTCCCTGGCAGAGACCCTCAAAATCGCACAGCGAATCTCTGACTCTAATCAGTTGCGTCATTGGTCTACATGCATACCTGTTTGACCGTTTCCATTCTTCTTGAATGTTAAATGGAAACGACATACTAATACCCGAAATGGATGTGAACATGGATGTTAATACCTGGACCGTGTCCATGTGTTACATCAAATCGATCCTATTTTGGGTGAGTGACTGCGAACGAGTCATGCAAACGGAGCAAGCACATCCGTGCTTCCATTCAGTCCGAGTGCCAAGCGTTGGTAGTATATAGGTGACATATTATGGTGACATAACTGGTATTTGATATGGCTGTGGGTCCTGGCATCTGGGCACCTGGTTGACCCAGGCATTCTGGTTGTCAACCTACGATGGTTTGGTGGGGGAGCTGACTGCTCCTCACAACCACATTCTTGGATTCGCCGAGAAGGTCATCATGCGTCATCCGGATAAAGGTCACACACAGGCGAACCAAGTCCGATGTACAGTGCAAAACATCATCATTACTTGGGCTTCCTTTGGCTGGGCAAAGGCAGGAGATGCAAGTGAACTACATTCCTGAAAAAATCATGGAAGTGGAAAACCACCTGTTTTGTATTCGGAAAGAGGCCATGCCATCCACTTCCATCATTTTTCCTGAGAGTGTCTTTTCCACTACTTTCTCCCTCTACGAACCTCCTCAGCCGAGGGGCAAAGGACTCCTCTGTCACTTCAGCTTCCACTTCAGCTGCCGGCTCCGCTTCCGGAGCGCCAGCGGCCGCAGCAGGCGCGGCGCGCTGCGCGCGCGCATCTCCAGCGCCCAGCTGTTTGAGGTGCCCCACCAGGGTCAGCTGCTCAGTGGAGGGAAGCATCGTCCACCTTCGGATGTGGTCTCAGCGGAACACCTTTGCGGCTTCTATAGCTCTTCTTTTCGGGATTTGGTCAGGAGAAAAACCCATGTGACCGCCCATATTGTTTTCCAAGTGGCTTTTTGATCATGTTGCCTCAGCTTGGTGCCGCAGCAAACAACTAGCTCAGGGGCTTTGCCAATGTCACCGATCCATCTTGTGTGCAGCGATCCAAACTGGCATGAATGGAGGCGGCAAAGACCCTCAATATGACCCATTTTGAACTGATCCATTTTCAGCTTGTAATCCTCAAGCAAACGGCATGCCAATGATGTTACAGCTGGCAACAAGACGTTACAGCATCAAGTGTATATGAACAATAATGGCAAATTACACTGGACATGCCTCCTGACATGGGTATGTTCCGTTTTGTTTCATCCCCTTGGTGACGCTTTTTTTTTTCCACGTTCTCCGAAACTTGGTTGTCTGCCCAGTCTAGGTCTAGGTCTCCAAAAACCTTCATCTATCTTCATCTGGTTTCTGCTTGAGATGCAACAAAGCCATGGCTGTGAGGTGGCACAAACAAGTGATATGAGTGTCGTGCCACCAACGGTTTCCCATCCCCAAACATGACCGATGGGCATCTTGACCGATCAGGTGGAGTGATTGGACTCGACGGTTGACCGATCCCAGTTTCATGATCAACTCTCCATCTCGGATCTCTACCATGTCTCCCATGAGCTTTGATTGTAGAGGTGAGTTCCCATTGTCTCCCATGATAGTTCCGACTCGACCTGCCAGTTTTGTCCACATGAAACCCTGCCAGCCACGTCTCCAGCTTCTCCCAAGTGGCTGGCATTCGGTGGGATCTGGGGCGCAGTGGCCACCTCGACTCTTGTTGAAAGGCATGGGCATAGACTCCAAGCCCCAAAACAGGAAACACATAGACATACACTCCCTAAGCTTTGGTTTCACTCCCGAAACTTTGGTGTCTGTTGAGTTTTTTAGATGTTGTATTCATTAATATTGTCTTTGCTTGTGGAGATCTCTGTGTTTGACCCGAAACCCACATCAGCAATGCACTCTTCACTGTTCCAAGGTGTCTGTATGTGTCTGTGTTAGTCCATTATTCATTGTTGGGGGATTGCATGCAAGGCTTTCAAGGGCTGAGCCCCCCCGAAACGAACAGAAAGCAGGGCAATCAGCGGACGGTGGACAGGTTCCGGGATCATTGTTTATAGCTTGGACAACTCATCCAACAATAGTACTCAATTACATAACATGATATGAACCAGCACCTTCAAAGGGGTCGGCAATGGAAGCCCCTACACTACTTAGGAATCTCCATTGAACACCCATTGAAGGTCCAGGTGTACGTATATTGTATGCAATTGGTTAGAACGAATACACATTGGGAATATCATAAATTTTCCAAAATTGTCCCCTACATAATCCCCCCCGATTCTAGATATACCAAACTTTCAAAGGTCAATGGTCCAGTCTGCTTGCAGGACCTTGATAGACCCAAAAACCTCGGTTCCTTCGTCAGGACTGTGGATCCACCTTGACCCTGACATGTTGATCTCCCGACACGGTTTGGACTTCGCCGACACTCGTGCGAAAAGTGTGGAATAGGTTGTCCCCATCAGAAAAAAACATGGACACGACATGGATTTGTGTAATGCCATTTCCATGTCCATACTGCATTTAATTCATCCTGACCCCTTGGGAAGGCGCTTGTCGTGCTCTGGTATATGTCTTGATCATGTAGACGATGCTTCGGTGAGAATCACCACAAAGGTTCCAAAGTCGGTTCACCGGCGGGGGCCTTCTAGCTTCCGATCCATGTCCAATCATTCCAACGACCATTGTAATCGATTGTTGTTTAGAGATGTTTGAACATTGCAGTATAAGATATATGATTGTAATACTTACTATAATATATAATATATAATAAATAATATATAACTATATGATAATATATGTTATAGTTAACAAACCATTGTTTTTACCAAGGGTTCGACTCGACGACAACATACTTAAGGGCCAGGGTCTACCAGGCTTCGTCGCCGGTCTACCAAATTTTCCCGCGCCGAGCCGCCGTGATGTGAGGATTCCGGTTGCACGAGGTGCACCTCGACCGGTCGACCGGGCTGAGGTGATCGATCGAAGCAGCGGTTTTGGAGCTGCTTCGAACCCATCCCAAATCATGTCCCGGGCTCAAAGCAAACTTGGGGGGCGAAAGCAAACTTCAAACTATCCCGCCGAAATCGCAGTACCTTAGCATTGGGTGCTGTTGGAACAGTCATTTGTGCACCCCAACACTCTGAATCGATTTCGTCTCGGAGACTGGACATGCACGTCGGTGCCACAAAAGTAAGCCGCGCAACGGGTGGGGCAAATGGTCAACTGGTCAGACTGGGTTGCTGGTCGCCTACAAATGCATGCCTACACCCTGGAAGACGATCCCATGGAACCTGAAACCCCTGGTTGGTAGAGGAAAATCGTCTTCCATGGGACCATTGTCAGGGTCCATGTTAGTTTTCGGGAGTGTATCGGTTCAGGTGTCACCCTCCACTATATGATATACCATGTTTTTGCATGTTCTTGGGCTCTGTATGGCTCTGCCACCGCCCAGGGAGACCATCCCAACCAATGTGATTTCTGTTCTTCCCGGGCGTGGGGGTCTTGCTATCCCTGGTCAACCAGGTCAACCGGGCTTCCCGCGGTGTGAACTCGGGCGCACCCGATGACCCCCACGGCAATGGCGTCATCATTGTGGCCCAACGAGACCACTTGGAGCTCAAAGCGCTGTTGCTCCTGACTGCTCTGGAGCGAAGGGAGGAGCGCCAACTGCTCTGCGCGATATGCCGCCGCTGAGTGGAGTGAACGAGGGACATAGAAACACTTCGAGGTCGATAATGACTCGCCGTTCACGTTCAACGGAGTGCGTCTGGACACTTCGTTTGGGGGGCGATTTGGAGATGCACTTGACTGCAAATTTAGCCATGGTTGGCCTGCCGGCCCGTGTGATTCAGAAAACCACCGAGCGGAACATGGCGGCGAGTAAGACGTTCGCCCAAACCCCTTTTCATTCTGAGACGCGACTCATATGTTACGTCCAAACTATGCTCTAAACCGTCTCAACCTTCGCGTCATGTGCGAAACATGGATTCTTCGCGTCGCGTTCACGTTCGATTCCCGTTTCCTGATAGCGACTGATCTGCTTCTGAACAGTCTCCGCCTCCGCCGAGGACGGCACCGGACGACTCACGCGATTTATCGGTGGTGAAAGCAACGAAGAAACCCCATTCATCAACGAAAAATGACGGGCATGGCTTGCTATGATGGGCCCTTGACTATATACAAATAGTAGTTTTAATCTGCTTTATAATGATGAGTTTTGGAAGGTTTTGGACAGATTGGTCCCTTGATGTCCCTTCACATCATGTCACCCATGACTGTATAGTGCGATGTTTCACCGCCCTGGTGACTCCCTCGCGCGTGGTCCACGACCGCGCTCCCGGTGACCGTCCAAGGGGCCACGGAGCGGAAGTCTTCGGTGGTGGGATCCGACAAAGGGCCCAGGCAAATGGTCATATGATCCCCATACCTCGTGGTGCGCAGCGTGGCTTGGTAGTCAAGTGTTCGCAAATGCAGTGAGAAACAGCTCGCGCGTCGAGTGGTGAGCCGTTTCAGAAGCGAAAGAGTGCGAACAGCGACAGGGACTTTCTGAAGGGAGCAAGTGCACAGCATTTGGAGGTGAGTTTGGGGGTGAGGGTGAGTCTATGACAGGAAATGCTTTCGAAACCGGCTTCTGTTACCACGGATGGAACTTGACTTCACAAAACGTCACTGCTTTGGATACTTTGGAACAGGGAGTTGTTGAATGTTTTTGATAGTTTTTGGTGCCACCAACGGTACCACCGCGCCAAGGTCAAGTAGCATCTTCCACCGCGCTGGGATGCCTCCTGCGATGGTCCTGGCTACTGCAACCCCGGTCTACGGAGCAGCCAAGGGGGTCCATCAACCACCCCAACCCGCTTTGACCCTTGGCAGAAACCACTGGAGTTTGGCCAGGTCAGTATGGCATGGTTGGAATCAAGAACCATCTGTGGTAAGAAGATGCAATGCCCTTGGAGTCGCAGAGAGACCCCTCCATGACCAACAAAACATCTTCGTAAGGGAGCGCAACTCTTCGAGGATCTTGATTTCCCAAAGATTTGGCTTCATGCCAGGAATATCACGCTGTGAAACTTTGATTCACATATGATTGGTTCACCAGAAACACACAGGCCATGACTCCCAGCGACGTGGATGGATTTGTCGATGGACACAAACACAGTGATCATGATTTAAACAAGCAGCTGGGTCATTCGAAAAAAAAAAAAAAAAAAAACATGTGTCTGTCACCCCCAGTGTGCGAAGACCTGCTGGGCGGGACCACAAGCGTCCGGCCGCGACTGTGCGTCAATGGCTCCAACAGCGTGAATTTCCCAGGCGTTCGTGGAACCTACGCCCGCCCAAGTGCCTGCCGCAAAAGTCGAAGAGCTTCTTCCGGCTTTCTTCGTCCAAGAAGACTGCAGAGTAGGACACCTTCCTGTTGCCGCTGGCCCAACACTAAGGATGAGCACCATGGAGCACCCCAGGCCTCTGGATATTTCACCTCTTGTAGGTAGCTGAGGTAGCCCACCAGTTTTGGCAAACATGATCTTACATATAGGTAAAGCAAGTGCATCTGCTTTGGTCTTCTCAACAGCAAAGCTTAGGCATCAGCATTGGACATGTGTAAGCGACTTCAGCCTCACCAAAAGAAAATAACACACTCTGCGGATATACCATGTGGAATATACCACATTGCCGTCTTGATCCCTGCAACTGAAGGATTTCCAACAGTCTTGCGTGCAAGTGTCCCAACAGCAGCACTGGCCGGAGCTGCCTCCTCAATGACCGCCTGACAATCTTCTTTTGATTTGGTCCATCAGGGAAACAGTTTGTTTACTTGACAATCTAGAAGGATTCTTAGTGCGGCCTCAATATTGAACATGATTGAACAGTTGCTTGCGAACTCTCAGGTGTTTCCCCTCTATGTTTCAAGGTGTGTGCCATCGTGTGCCGCATCTTTGAGGAAAGGGAGAACATGAATCCGGTGCATCCGGTGAACACACCAAAGCTCATGAACCGGGCAGAACCTGCAGAACGGGTGCCATGAGCCGCCAGGGTGGACGACCAGTGCCAAACGATGTGGACGGGAGCCATGATCCATTGGATCCATGTGTTGAGAACTCTGGGGTCGCAGCTCCAACTCAGCTCCAAATGCCAACTCTACTGGCAACCTCACTAGACCACCATTTGGCTATGGAAGTTTTTACAGTGCAGTCTTCTTTTTCTAAGAGGTCCTGAAAGGCTTCTTTTCTGCTTATATAGATTTATGCATCGTTAGCAACTGCTGTAGCCTATTTGCCTGTTGACCTGATAGGGCTATTTCCAAATTTTGCAGAGACCTTCCAAGATTTGCAGAGTTGTTTCACAAGAATTGCTGCACATTCTGAGAGCTTTTCATCGTTTAGGGATCTTCATTGAATTGCCAAGATTCTAAGGGCTAGCTAACTCAGCTCAGCTAGCCACTGTTTGTTCTCCACCGTTTCATCCTGGGCATAAATTATGCATGTTGATGTTGTGTCTCCTGCGGCTTTGGTAGAATTGACTAGATCACATAAGTTTACATTCTATATACATCAAGTTCAGAGTTGGTGGCACTTGAAAACCACCCCGTGAAAACTGAAAGCTGTGCCATCGTCTCAGAATGGCATCCCAAGTTCACCAGTTCCCAAGATGGAACATCTTTATAAGACTCTAAGACAAAAACAGCGATTTCACACAAACAAAGCTTTTCTCTGAATTGATCTTCTGCACTGCATACTCGATGGCACCCAGTCATACAAAAATCCCCATAACAGCTGCCCCATGCGGCCCCAATCCGACCTGTTCCTGCTTGAAAATACCTGGTTGGCGGCGTTCGACTGACAACCTCAAACACTTGATGCTGACAGCCTAAAAAGCCTTCGTGCCGGGGCGAAAAAGAATGATTTGCTATTGATCCACAAACCCTCCGAGAAGATCAAAGAAAATTGGAGGGTCCAGTCGTACCGAACCTGAGAAGCCACTGCGGTTTTTGTAGGGATTGGTGACACTGGAAACCAAGCACAGGACACTTGAGGAGACTAGGATGGATGGCTTAGTTGCAAGTTGCAAGGTTCATTTCCATGGACACCCCAATTTCCTTGATGGCTTACCCCCCCTGAAAACTAATAGAGACCCTGAAAACCACTGGTGCAGCTAAAGGAAAGCCGTCTTTGAGGGTGACGTTCTCAGGGTCCATGTGAGTTGACTCGGGAGTGTAATTACATTTAATGTGCCCACGAAGAAGAAGAAGTCCATCAGTCATCCTGTACTGTACTCTAAAACGGAAAGCCAGCCATAGGACTTCAGTCATCTACTCTGACTCATCTTCTGTGATTCCTGACTCGTCAGCCGCCCCAGGATTGGTGCGGCTCCAAAAGGAAGTTCTCAAAAAAACGTGCTGCCAACTGCCATCACAATAAAAAGGCTTCAACTATCAGACTCCCTGCCCCTGAGGTTCAAACATTGAGTGTGAGGGGTCAAACAGGGGGGACGCTGGGGCATAAGATGGCTGTCTTCCTGAAGAACAACTTAACTTGAGGCCAGGGGAAGGAGGTCGAAAGCTAGCCGAATCGCACCGGATGTACTAGTTACATAGTCGGCAAAGCATGTAGTGAGTACATGTTCTGGGAGGAAGGTTGCTATGTACATACTTTGCGCTAAAGAATGTAAATGTGACATCGCTGACTGGGAAGAGTACATTGGAACAACCCGGGTGCACTCGTTGGCAGGCACGAAGATGCGTGATCGGCAAATCTGGGGGGTAAATTTACCCTCCGCTTTTGTATGCCTTGAGGGGTAAGCATTTCTGACATCATACGGACTGTACACACACTAGGGCGTCCGTAGTGTAGGATAAGCACTGGTGAAAAGTATAAGGAGCAGAGTGTCTTGAGGAAATAGCCGGCTTATGGTTATGGCAAATCTGGGGGGTAAATTTACCCCCCGCTTATGTATGCCTTGAGCCGGAACGAGGGGTAAGCATCACAAGGACTGTGCATACACTAGGGCGTCCGTAGTGTAGGATAAGCACTGGTAAAAAGGATGAAAAAGGTATCAGGAATAGAGTGTCTTGAGGAAATAGCCTGTGTATGGTTATAGCAAGCCTTGGGAGTAAATTTACCACCCGCTTATGCATGCATTAGGTTAGAAATAGGGTAAACAACTTGTAACGGTGAAGTACAAGTCCTATGCAGCAAGCAGCAGCCAGCAGCCAGCAGCAACCGCCAACCAGCAGCCAGCCAGCAGCACCACGCAGCAGCAGCAGCAGCAGCACCAAGCCGCAGCAACAGCAGCAGCAGCACCACCGGCAGCAAGCAGCAGCAGCAGCAGCGGCGTCGTCAGCAACAGCAGCACCAAGCCGCAACAAGTAGCAAAGCAGCAGCTACAAAAGCGGCAACCAGCGGCAGCAGCAAACAGCAGCAGCAAGCAGCAGAGCGGCAGCAGCAGCACCGTTTACACCAAGCCACCGTTTACACCCAACCAACCACGTTCACACGTTCAACCAACCCCCGCTATACACGGCGCAGCTGGGAGTCGAACCGTGGGGGGGCGGGGGTGGTTATCAAGCTTTAAGGCGCACAGCTCATGCTCATCCCACTACCAATTGCTAAAGCAAAGAAGAACTCAGCTAGCATGCTAGCTTTCGTGACTTACATGTTCTGTATCCTAGAAACCATGTGTGTTTCTTCAATTTCATTATATCATCATAATCCTTTCTCTGGGGTTCCATATGAAAACACTCCATGTAATGATGGCTTATTTACCTGCGGTGCTTTCAGTGGTCACTGTAGCCAGATCTTCGCCGCAGTGATGGGGTGGATCTTCGCCCCCCAACGGGTCCCCCGAATCGAGCATCGAGCTGCAGAGGTATCGCTCGCGGCCCTGCCCAAAGGATTGAGTCGTCAGGGAGCGCAGTTCAGCCTGAGAAGGCAGGGCTCCAAGGCAGGGCTCCTGGCCTACCTGGCCTACATCCGAGTTCGGGACTCAAAACGTTCATCGGGCTGGAAGAAACCTCTGACACGAAAGATGAAGGTGGTTCGGGTGGGTGGATGCCAGGGGGTCTGTGCCCACCTGAGGATATGAGCCAGGAGCCCAAACGGGAATGCGCGATGAAGATGGTTTGATACAACAAGTATCCTCTCAGTATCAACATTGATTAAAAATTAAGATGTCAAAAATTAGCAAGTTTGTTCCGGAACAGCAACACTTTGATCATGGCTATGGCTATGTCCAAATGCTGTTTGATTATGTTTTTTTGGGGAGGTCCAGGGTGGTTTTCAGCCATACGATCTGGTGCCTTATCAATTTGTGAATGCACGAATTTATGATACCATTCTTGGGTTTGGTGGTTTGTGTCCACATGTCCTCAGGATCCTCCAAATTATGAGAATTTTTTCTGCCAGTCTCCCTCAATAGGAAGGATTCAGGATCAATGTTGTAGTGGATAGAGAAACCCCAATGCGACCAAAATGGATAGAGGCACATCTGAGTACTCTACCTGCTTTTGTTTGGTACATGTCGTTTTTCGATAGTTAAGATTAGTTGATGTTAGCTACCACAGGACCGACGTCCGGCGGGAGCATGGCGGGCCTGTTCATGGAGGAACTTGCGCTCCAAACCCGTGATGCTCGTGGGCATCTGCAGTTGCTTCGACTCGGAGGCGACGAACTCCTCCAGTTCCGCGCGCCTTCGGCCCATCGAGCGAAAACAGGGCGATCAGCATGCCGTTGCAACCGACTAGAGCCACCTCCCAAGCAAAATGAAGGCCTTTGCTGCACTGTTGCTCAATGGCATGTTCATCCACGTTCCATTGTTCATTTCCTCCATTGCCAATTAACCCCCTCAACTTCTGTAGCTCGCCAGCCACTAACTAACTATCGCAAATGTCCTGGTTGCTGGTGACCGGGGAGCTTTCAGAACTTTCAATTTTTTTTGTGGTCTTACACATCCTCAGCTTCGGTGGTTGGGGTGACTGCCAGAGGGGTCAGTCCCTATATACCTTCTTGTGCGTGCGCGTGCGCACGCGCTCTTCATCCAGTGCGTGAAGAACGTCCTTCAATCGCTTCAATGACGAAGAACGGCATCATATCATGCCCAAATCGGGAAGGCGAAGAGGAAGGGCTTTTTCAAGAGTCTACATTTAAACTCTTCCAACCGAGGCACAACTCCTCACGCCGAGCTTCCGGGATCTCATCACTGCTGGGAGGGCATCCGCCTTCCGCATCCGATGGTCCATTTTTGGGGGTTAACTGTTGCCACCTAGGCCTGGGCTCCAAACATGGAGTAACATGGAACAGGTGTTGTTCATTTTGCGTGTACTTACAATAGTATATATACATATATATATATATATGCCCTGCGGGCCCGGGAGACTGGTTTAACTAGCATGTGTCGACATGGACTGCTTAAACTGCCTAACTCTGCCCACCCGCTCTCCGAGCACGTTTTCTAAGCAGTGCTCCGATCACCGCTTCCATGCCGCCTCCATGTCGATCCTGCAACGTATATGACTCCAAACTGTTGGCGCATTTATCAGAGTCAAATTTATCTTTAAAGAATCGTTGATGCATGGAGCTTGTCTGAAAAACCTCGGTCCTCCGCATGCGCTTCTTTGCCACCTTCAGCCTCAAGCGCGCAACCTTCATCAAGTAGCTCTCGCACTGCTGGCCCGAAACGTGCCTGGCCACATGCTTGAGCACGCCGATGCTGTCCTCCTCCGAGAAGCACGCCCAATGCCGCGAGTTGTGCCCTTGGCTGTACAATTGCCAAATGATCTCAAGTCCAAAGACCTGCGACATGATGAAGCTCCTAGGCTATTAGGTCTGTGATGCATGGCTCTTGTCCCGAAACGTGTCTGGCCACATGCTTGAGCACGCTGATGCTGTCCTCTGAGCCAGGTCACGATATACGGTCGACATCGACGTCGTGTTCGATTCGGCGACGACCCATGGGCACTAATCATGCCAGAGGGCACCTTCATCCTCGTCACAGGCAACGCGGTTCTGATAGGCTCCGTGTTCAGCGGTGTTGGTGGCACGTGACCCACCCCTGGCTTCAATTAGGTATGGCCAAACTAGCTAGCCAATTGAAAGTGAAAACTTGCTAGATGCATAGCCTAGAATCTCTTTCAAGAGCACACTTCATAGTGCTTCATCTCCAGATCCCATCGCCGTCGTGTCCATCGAGCGACGACCGTGGTGAGGGAAAAAGGGATCATGCATGTCCCTGTGGATGGATGTGCTAGTCTTTGGAAGTTGGTTGAGCTGTTGTGGGGTCTCCACGATGGAAGTATCCACACCCTGTCAAAACTCCAATCTAGCGGGTTCCCCAACAGTTGCTCAGAATGGTGTTGGGTCGCAACTGTCTGGGAGGATGGTTCTGACCCCCACATACCTCCTGAGCGAGCATTTTGGGTCCATAGACAGGGGGTGTCTAGACACGATGTCTTTCGGGCATGGTATCATGAGTACTTTTACAGGTGCATATGTTGATCGTTCTTGTATGTCACCTGTGCCATCCTGAACCCCTCCACTGCAACGAAGGGCCGATCCGACGTTTCCGGGCATAGTTTTCAGGTGATCCCAACCCTGAATCCCTGTGAACCAAATGGTTGAGTAAGAATGGTCTACTTACAGGTGCTTATAGACAAGTAAAGTACGATCTTTTAAAGTCAAGTACGTTCATATGAATGAATTGCAAACGAACAAGTTCAACGAGTACTTTGGTTCACAGGGGTATATAGATATGATTAGATTATATGAATATGGTTGGTTTGTAGTCTCTGTGCCTTATTTTGTGAAGAATTTAGGGTCACTCCTGTGGTTCGACGCACCATGGCTCACACCTGTGTTGGTAGCCCTGAAGTGATCGAACTTTTTTTCTACACCCTGGCTCGCATGGAGTGAAATGTTTAAAACACAACACGGTCAACATGGATCCCGAATGGGTGGAAAACCTTTGACCTTGGTAAAATGTATCTAAATCTTGGCTAGTATACTTGCAGTTTGACCAGTGGGCCTTGGAGACCCCGTGATCAGCAAGAAAAACAAACCCCACTTACTACATCTCACTACTGGTCAGTCACACCACATCGCACGTGAGGGGAGGAAAAAAAACATTGGATCATAATAGAGCACTACCAACCTACCTGGGGATGGTGCGCTAGCGGAAGACCTGATGTTGACCAGTTGAGTCAGTTGAGAAGCTTTCGCTTCAATGAAAAAAGAACAAGAAAACCCCGTGGTACTATATCCCAAACGCTCCACGTATGAAATACATGCCTACATTGGGGTGGTTTGGGGGGTCAATGTAGGCATATATTCCAGTCCCATGAATGGGTATGATTCATGATCATACCGCAGCGCTGCTCGCGCTGGACACTCTGATCCTTCGGTTCTCCTCTCAGGTTCATGCATCTCTTCTCGTCTCGTCCACGACTTCGCCGGTGTCCGTCGTCGCCCGCTGCGGGCCTTTCACACCTTTGCCGCCTTTGCCCTTGCCTGGCCCAATGCTTGTGGCGCGCACCAACAAGATCAACAAGGGCGGCCCGGTCGAGTGGAGTGGTCAAGTTCAGTCATCACTTGCAGGTCAATTCTCTAGAAGAGCCCAAATGGACAAATCAGCTACTCGCTACTAAACAAGCTAATGTTTGTTTGTTTGGAAGGCATGCAGTATAATAATTGTTAATTTGTGCTCATCCAATATGAGCGGCAGCATGATGCACTACTAAACTCAAACATACTCAAATACGATCTATTGCGTGGGAGCCCTATCTCGTTTAGACTGCTTAAGGAGGTCATGTCACACGATCTCAGTTACTGGTGTCGTGTCTGTCGATTGGATAGTCTATATAGCCAACATAGAAAAGGCAAAAAGCCATGCCAAATTGTGGATTCAGAACACTGGCCTAGTTCAGTTTTTGTTGTCGACCTGTCCATTTTGTGGGACCAATTATGGCTGAACTGAACTATTATGTATAGGAAACATGTGCATTAGCAACCACTGTTATTCATTCTTTACCAAAGTAGTCTACGGCATGCTCTATTTGTTTGTCCAACATCAGCATTCGCTGGTGAACGAGATAGGGCCCTCACATAAACGAGATATGTTTTGACGACGCTAAAGTAGTATCCAAATTCCATGTTCCATGCTCCAATGAGAGTCTCTTTGTGTACCTATTTGGCTTTACTCTTGGGGAACGCATTCCTCTGTCGGCACAAACCAGAGGTCTCCCTGCCACCACCGCGTTCCTCTCGCCGTCTCGCACACCGCGGTCGAGCGGTCGCGCCTGCGTTCCCGTGCCTGACATGGCAGTGTGGCTGTCGTCCTTTGCTAAGGGTTTAACCTTCAGTGGTTTAGTAGTACCTCCCGTCCAAACCAAAGGTCTAAGGGTTTGAGAGTACGCCTGAGGACACTTAAGGTCTCATCATGGTCATGATTCATGAGGGTCTTTCGGGTGGAAACTGCAAGGACCCATGGTGCAAGGATCCATGGGGAATCCCAGTCTCCCTGAATCTTCCAATCTGCAGGTCCCTCGTGCAACAAAAAGTGTCCAAAGCGTCCAACGGTCGTTCCTTCTTCGGGCCTTTGGTGAGAATCGCGTCCTGAGGATAAGCCCCCGCCCCGCGCGATTTCGCGCGGCTGAGAGGTCCACCAGTTAGTCCAGCCAGTGAGTCTAGTAGTATGGTCTAGTGGTTAAGGACCGTAAAAACCTTCAAAAGACCACACAACAATCCTATGTTTTAAACAAATACAGTTCCTGGAGACCAGCAGTGCACGGCTCTCATGCTTGGTGACTCAAGTAGTGAACGGTCAGTCACCAGCAGTGCTGCCCAACTTGACTGGCACTCGCTTCCCAAAGTCCGCAATCGCACACGATTCCATTGATAAATCGCCCATTTCAATGAAATGAAACTTCATACCACTGAAAACACTCTTGTCTGCACCTATCTCTAAACATCCCAAGGCAGATTTATCAGTGTGCTGTTCTCTTTGTAGTAATTCCTCATCTAACCTAGCAGGTCAGCAACCCTTAATGTGAGCTTGTGGTGACGGGTCAGTCCTTTGCCCTTGGCGATCAAGCGCCGCATGGCTTCTTCGTTCGACTCCTCGCAGGAATCGAGGTGCTGCAGGGCACGGGATGCTGTTGGCAATGGATCTCTGTTTCTTTTGCCTGACGAGCGATGGAACGAAAGAACACTAGAACTGCATACGTGTATTTTGAGGCCAAAAATATACTCAGGTGTTCTGTGTGAAGCCGTTGTTGTTTAATTGCGACTCTTGTAAATATCGATTGGCCCCGGCCGAGAAGTCGTCTCCCGTCCTGGGGCGCCATTGGTTTCACAAGACGTGTCCTGGCGCCGAAGACGCTTCCATCGCTATCCAAAAGAGATAGGACATGGAAGCTGGGTTTTAGTCGCCCCATCCGCCCAATCCGGTTCTTGGGGAGACCTCACCGCCACGTCAGAAGTCCGCCACACACGGTGGTGGGCCGCACACGCCGGCTGCGGTTGCATGAATTCTCGCATGGCCCCCACCCCGCCGGTGTAACTTGATAGGTTCTCCTCGTTCACTAAGGTGACGAAGGACAAAGATAAAAAATAAATAAGTGACGAATTGGGCAAGTGTGCCGCTTTGTGATGGCATATGACTGTCTAGCACTAATTGATATTAATTGCAATACTCCGGGGAAAAACAACATAGACCAGAACTCAATTCTATACAGTATATGTAGTTTCTTTGGCCAACATGTTCCAAAATCACCACTATCGAATCTGTTGGAGAAAAAACAGCACACGCTGTTTTGCATCATTATGCATCTGCATAATATGTCTCTACTTGGTGGCTTGGTGGAATATCTTTTCATCCCGGCTCGATATATGTCATTGGAATTGATGACAATCACCCTACGCAAAAAATAACAATGACAAAAAAATCGCAACCACAACCTAGTTGGAACAAAACAACTAGGTCCAAGCAAACCATGAAAATTCACCCACTGAAGGCATGTTTCCCGCCTCGGCTAGCGCAAACCCATGGCTGTGGTTCCGGCAGTTCTGCAAGGAGAAAACAGTGGTTGAATAGAATGCAACCAATGATCAATGAAAACAAACAGTACTTGGCAGTTGGCGGTTGGACTCGGAAAAGAAATCAGTTGGGAGATGTTGGGTCACTTTGCAGCCGGCTTGGTGATCATCCCCGCGTTGGACCGTCCAGCAGCGGTCACGAAGCGACAGGAACAGCTGGTTCATCGATGTTGATCCTGCAGAGGCTGTATGCATGAGTCAAGTTCTCCATCCCTTTCAAATGTATTGGAAACTGTTTCTATCTATTTGGATATCAGTAACATTCTAGATTCTATACATCATCCTACAATTCTGCATGTTCGCAGCTGCAAAGTTCGAAGCTGAAAGGTCCGGCGGACATTGCAGTAAGCAAAATCATGTAAAATCATTGTCAGACTCAGCACCGAACCAGGGCAGACCGCAGTGCCAGACCAAATTGAACCTACTTGTGTCAGGCAAATTGCAGAAATATGCAAGCGATATGAAAGCGATTTTCATGCGATTTTCTCACAAACAGGAAACGGCATGTTCCCAGTTGAGGACTCAGGCCCCCGACCGTCCGAGCGAACAAAGCTCCATGGGCCGTTGAACCTTACGAAGCAGAGTGGGGGGGCCAACACTTGGGAAATATTTGCATCTCAAACAAAAGGCATCGCCTTGGGTATATCCTATTCCCTGGGCCCAGTGGATGATGGTGGTTAGATTCCAGAAGTTGAAGACCTTTCTCTATGAATCGTTATAAGTTATAAGACCTTGTTGACCGACGGCTCCAAACAGGTCTTCTGGGACGTGCCCAAGGCATGGGGGTCGTTGGAACGTGTTGGAACCTGACGTCATATGACGCAATAGCTACGTGCAGGCATAGCTCGTATCACTCGAATGGTGATGCTTGGCGTCAGTCAATTCTGGCAATGGAACGAGACGACTGGCTCCACAAGTTCTTCGAAAGCACCGCGTCCCAGAACGCGTCGACCAGAACGCGTCCGAAGCGAAAGTAGAACCACTACGACAGGTCGGACCACAGTGCTTAGGGACATCAACTCAGATGATGTGCCATGACGGTGAACAGCTACTAGTGCTACAAGACACCCCCAACAGAGCTCAAACAACCGGAGTTAACAGAATAGAACCTTGAACCAAAGAAACCAGGAGGCCCTCAAGAAGATTCGGCTTTTTGAATTAGACTGCATGTGGAAGGGATCCGAGGGCTATCGCGTCAGCTGGGGCACAGTGGAAGGTCGTTTTCGCGAAATGCGCACGAAACTCGGCGCCAAGCGACGCAACTGACTACTGCGTAGATTGTTCATGTAGTAGATTCAGTGAAGCATAACTGAGAGGTCTCCAAAGCTACGTTCAGGACGGCTGTGGACAGACGGGGGAAGCAGCATTGTTCCATCTCCCGCCACACTTTGGTCCATTCGCTCAGCTGATATTTTTCTGGGTGTCTTCGAGCAAACCAAATACACGCTCCAGGAGCTTGAGATGTTCCAGATTCCGTGAAGTGTTTCGTCTTCATTGTCTGTCTTATATAAAACTCTTGTCATGACCAAATCGGGGCGGATCGCTCCCTTTGACATATATTGAGTGAAAGCAATGTTGTCTCATCAATATACTTACTCTGACTCCTAGCGATGTTGGAGTTGTGGAGCATAGTTTTGGGATGGATCCAGGCACATGACTTAGGATTTTTCGGCACGTGACTGGCACGGGGTCAGGACCGAATTGCTGGGACCGCTGGTCCTGGCCCGTCCTGACCGTATTTGGCGACGAACACGTCCTGGCCGTATACTTGGTATGTTTTGCTATGTCTTGCTCCACGTCCCCAGAAAGGAACGTCGCACTCGCACTCAGGAGACAATTCGTCGCATTTCCTTGGAGCAAATGAAAACATTGAGTCATTGGAGGGCGCTTTTGGGAGAGGTGTTTGAGCTCTTTCCCCTGCTCAACTGCCAAACCTGTGAAGCAAAGGCCACATCTATTCAATTCTATAATATTCTATATATTCACATGCAAGATAAATGACATAGAATTCTGGGAATGTGACTGTTGATCAGGCCAAGAGCCTGTGTACCTCATCAGTCCTATTGGTTCGGCTGCAAGACGTCGTGTTGCCGTAGCTCTGAGCTAGCTCATATGATGTTAATGAGTTGTCTTAAACATGGAAACAATGCACAAATTGCCACTTCGACCCGTTGCATATACACACACTCTCTCTCTCTCTCTGTCTCTCTCTCTCTCTCTGTTCCAATTATGGTTTCATGGATCATCTCAACTGTGGTCCAAATGTTGCTCCAACCGGTCCAGGTGTAGTCAAACAATGTCTAATAACGAATCCTGAATCCGCTCGTTCACAGACCGACCGAACATGTCAGAACGCATCGGTTCTCAGGGAGGTGGTTCCCCAAGAGGAGACGGACCGCATGATGGTCTCCGTGACTCCTCAAAGGATTGTCTCCGCGGTTTGTGTTGAGAGAAACAGGTGGAAACACGGTGACATCATCCCCAAGGTTTGAGGAGCACTCCAGGACCCAACTGCAGTTGTTCTTGAGACTGACTGTAGAGATCTGTGAGTCAAGCGTAAGAAGAATTCGGCCAGGGAAAAACAGGCCGATCCCTACACGAATTAGATATTGTGGAGGCCATCGCTTCTAGGTTGGAGGCGATCGCTTGTAGGTTGGAGGCCATTGCTATTAGGTTGCATTCAGTATTAGGTTGCTAATTAGGTTGGAGGCCCTATGTGCCAGAGGCTCATCCGTATTTTTTTAACGCATGCAGTGCATACACATGTTTGGTCCTGTTCAAATAGTGCAGCGTCGTAGTCTTAGTGCTGTAATTTGATTGCTGCTTCTCTTTTCACTTTGTCTTTTGTCGTCATGATGGTCGTTTCTTTAGTAGAAGCTTCCTCTGCCTCTGTGATACTTTTGGTCTTTCACCCTTTGGTCATAGACCTTGGTTCTCTGTAAGGGGGCGGAAAGCGAACCATGAGGAGTTGACAGTGGTCAAAACCAGGAGACCGAGAGACCGACCGGACCAACCGGCGACTCCAGAGCGGTCGTTCGGAGAGTCGTTCGGAGAGGGAAAACCCATCCCCACTTCCCATCAGAAGGTCAATCAGAGTTCACAGCTCTTGACTCTTGACCCACAAACATGAGCAAAAAAAAAAAGGCAACCAAATTCAAAGATCCCTAGAGCTTGTTCACTGCCCTCTGCAACCCAAGAGACTTGTTTTGCATCCTTCCTTGGACCCCTTCGAACGACCCGCCGGTCTTTCCCCGGTGCGCGCGTGCCGCCCAGCATCCGTCCAGGTGGAGGAACGGCTTCGGCCGAGGTGAACCTCGGGCCCGGTCCCCGGTCGGTCGTGGTCTGGGCGGATCGCCCGGTCGTGTCCTTTGCCAAAAGGAGACGAAGATCTGCAATGAATTCAGTTCTGCGTTTTGAACTCGAAGTATCCCTTAGCGCAGCACTGCGCAGCACATAGCACTGCATACAGGAGCCGGAAAATGGCCGAATAAACCATCACACACGACAAAAGCACGAATGAAAAAGCACCAAGAACGTGGGGGAACCGTGCTTCATGCAGGCTCCTGTTGAATCAACAGTTGGTGCAACATGTCTCTCCCCAGGTTTGACACTGTGTCTGATCCACGTCTTTCCACGTTCCACATAGACCCTTGGAACTTCCTTCTACCCTTGGCTGCGTAGGCCTTTTCTAGATGTGTATGCTCAGTAGGCCAACGATGAAGAACTATGACCTGGTGGCTTGGGCCAAGATTCCTGATCAACGTGGGTCAGTTCACCCTGGGCCCATGACCCGTGGTCGACTGGGCAGGGAAAAACCCTCCGACGGAAACCTTTTGGAGGGTGGCAAAACATGCTAGAAACACCAATCAATCACTCAAGTTGGGTGATTGCTCCCAGTAAAAAAAACAAAAAGAACTTGTAACCTTGTAACTTGTTTATCGTAGTTCTTATCTAAATCAATCATAAGCCGATATAAATCAGTGTTAGGCTATAGCAAAAACAAGACTAAGAGAGAACAAACACGTCGAACCTTGCTGTCCTCGGGGTCCTACATGCCTGTTGGGTCACATCGGGGTCGATGATCGATCCTCCATCGCCCGACGTCACCAGCCACGCAGCGGCTTGGGAGCGAATCACCCCGTTGGACAAGACGGAGCAGACGGCGCCCAAGGTCACGCAGCTCCTTAGCTACTAGTTGTTACAGTATACAGTGAATCAGTGAATCGCTAGTAGTAGCAAATTAGCTACTGGTAGCAAGGTGCATCGCTAGTAGTAACAAGGGCATTAATACGATAAACAAGAAGCTACTAGTTACTAGTTTCAAGGTGGTGGACGACCCATGGATTCCGGAAAAGGGTCGGACGGACTTCTGATCGATTTCCGGAGGGCAGTCCGGATCGGATTTAGGAAACATGGGATCGGTTGGTCGGTATGACTCGAGAGGGTTGCAACTTTGCACACCAGATCTGGATTGAGTTCTGGAATACACGATTGACCGGATTGACAGGATCATGTCCGACTCATCATTGCGATGTGAACAATACTCTGATTCTAGCCAGCCCATCAAAGGGAAGTCTTTGAGAAGACCCTCAAGAGTTGTTCTCTCCCGCATAAAAGTGTCTTTCGCAGAACTTCGGAGCCTCCTCGTCCACGGGTTTTTCCTAAAGAAGGCTCAGAGGCATCAACCCCCACCATTGAGAAAACAAGGGCGCCCCAAAACCCACTTAGGCCACTCGTGGTGAGGCTTCGCTTCCAGAACAGTTCCGAATCAACATCCCCTCATTCTGGCTTGATTCAAGGCTCCAAATAGATAACCTCAACACCCCAAACGATGCTTTCGGCCAAATAGCCTCCTGGATGGGACCTCTCTACCTCCTATCCTCTCACCTCCGGCCTCCTCGACCGGCACGGCCCCTCCGAGCGGCACGATCCCGAAGCACTCTTCGGGCGGCCAGCCGTAGCTCACGAAGCGGAGGCCTTTTAAAGGTGAGCGGTTGGCGCGGTTGGCCCGGGCGGTTGGGAGAACTGGGATGTTCAAACCTTAAAGCTTGACAACTGGGATCATCCAATGGGAGTCCGGAGGGCCAGTCTAGTGTAGTCTATGATAGTCTATGGGACACCCATTGGATGATCTGAGAAGATCTGATGTCTGTGACATCCGGGTACACATGGATTGCCAGCGTACACTCCGAGAATGTCTATCAAACGGGCATCGACCTGCGTTTGACCACAAAAAAAAACTCGGCCGGGGGAGGCTTCTTTAGGTGGTGGTCTTGCTGGTGTTCTTGGATCGTGTGAATCATCTGCATCCAGTTCATGGGGACAAGATTTTCCGGCGGTGGATTTCTGCGTCCAAAGGTCCAGTGCCGGAGTCCAGTTTCCCTCGTGAAAAACCTCAAGGTCGTGGTCCCTGGTCCTATAGCAGAACAGGATGAAGGACTTAAACAAGTGCGGTGTGTTATCCCAACCTGATGATCCTAACTGGGTACAAATAAGCACCGGAATCTCTAGTTGAACTTGTGTCAGTTCTTAAGAGATCCCAAAGAAAACAAATCAAATGACCTTGGAATGATTGAAGCATATTGAAGCATTTGACCAAGGTGACCATGTGCCAGCAGTCCTATGGATGAGTAGAGTTGGCTGTGAGTGCAAGTCCGAGGAATCATCCTTGCAAGCTGCTCACCAGGATTTGTCACTAGACACCCTCCAGAACAATCTCCATTCCAACCTGCAGTTGATATATAGAAGGAAGGGCCAGTCAAAATCACTGCAGGTTCTTCCCAGTAGCTAAACCCATGCTGTTCAAAGAGAAACCATTAAAGACACATTGAAAACCAATGAATCTTTCATATTCCTCCCATCATCCCCCATTCACACACCCTATCAAAAATGCAAAGAAACATCCATCTGGCGCTGGCACATCCTAATCCCGCACTCTCACGGAAAAAAACCCAACACACACACACACACACAGTGCCTCTGAAGATTGACATAGTTAATTATTCAGAGTCAAAGAATGTTCACATCTCATCTACTTCTCTATATTGAACTCAAATGAGCGCGGGCATTGAAAACAGAAGAACAGCATGGCGCTGTTCGCAAACTGTATAGAGCTTCGTTGGTCACCTTGACCGCCTGCGTGCGGTGAGACACATGCTTTCCGAGTGCTTGTGTGCACGTTTAAACACCAACATAAGAGAGTGGAGTGATTGAACACACCTTTAAGCCTTTAGGTGATGTCCAACCTGCCCTGCACTCTCTTCTCCTGAGTTCCAGTCCGCTTGAAAGCACGCTAAACCGACCCTTCACGTGTGACTCACAGCGTGTGACCCACACAGCGTTAACCCCTCAGAGTTTCTCCGAAGACGCGACTTGCACCGACCTCGTCCACGCCCAGAGCGACCGGCGCGACCCCGGAACCGTTCGCTGCCCGGCGACCGCTGCGACTCAGCAGCGGCACCATGACCGGACCCGTGGTGAGCCCGGCCGTGTCCCACGCGATGGCCACCGTGGCCTGGGGCCCAGATCCCGCAGACACCGTGGAGCGGAAAGAGACACAAAGAAAGAAAGGCTTGAATGTTCAATCAAAACCATTTGAACACCTCATAAGACGTATACATGTTTTTTCTGGTACACCTAAGCTGGCAACTATGCTGCACAATGAACGACAATGGATCATAACTTCGTAGTCTACCATTCGTTGCAGCCAATTCTCCCGAACGGATTGACCATCCCAAACCTTTTGGCTCATCGACGCATCTATCGCCCAGGCGATCTCTACCAGGAGACCCTGAAGCTGTTGATCATTCACCAGTTGGAGCTGAAGCATGTTGAGAGGTATGAAGTACCTCTTGGATGGGTCTTCTTAGGTGGAGGTCTTTAGGCAGGACTCCTTAGGGTGGAAGAGCACACATCCCAAAAGTCACATCCTGAATCCACCCATGGCTCCAACAACCACATCCTCAGAAGGTAGTTAGACCCCCCTGGCGCCACTTTCTGAGCCAGGAGCCCTAGGAGGGTTAACAAAGGAAGCCCACGTAATTATATGGGGAGCCAAGTTTTACCCACGCAACTCCTGGTCCCGTCTTCCTCTGTGCTTGGGCCTCATCAGCGATAAGGGTCAGCAGCAAACACAAGGTGTAGCCCACTGAAAGGACGTCCACCAATGGAAGACCTGAAACGAACGAAACAACGCCGATCGGCACCGACACAGTGGCGGACACCCCTGGACACCCGCCTGGACCAGCCTGGACCTGGAAAAGAACGATTTCCACCATTGAGCCAGTAGGTTAACCTTTGCCATCTGCCATCCGGCTGGCGAGTTTGGCTTCCCGGAATGAGCCTAGCTCTTCCTTTTCCTCTCATGAAATGGTCATTCGGGGCCCTTGCGTCTTTGAGACACATCAATTAACACATGCTGAAACGTCGGAACCTCTAGTAAACCCAAAGCCCTGCAATGTTAGGACACTGCGAACGAATGTGAGCGAATAATCATCAATGATCTGCTCGCATTCTGGTCTACAACTCACCCCCCGCAAAATGCAAAGAATCCATGGGTGCGAGATCTGATTCAAGATCAAAAATAACCAACATGGACAGGACATCATCAAAGCATCAAAGCCTCTTTGCTCGAACATTTCTTTGGGACATGTTGGGACACATCATGAAATCCATCATGAACATCCCTGGATCAGCAGCAAGCCTTTGAGGTCTGGGGTGGAATCAACCTGGCCGCAACTTTGGGAGATTGACCAAGACCCTCCAAAATGGATGTTGGTGACAAATGCTGGGCGCTTGGATTTGATTGAGGAACCGGAACAACACATCTTGCTCAGAAGTGGATTCACCCAGTAGGGAAAATAGACATCATCCAAGCCAGTACTCCACCTCTTTGATTTGGCCTCGTCATCCGACCGTGGAATCTGAGCGCCCATGCCTCATATGCTTATGGATCCAAGAATGTACCAATTAGCCGTATGAATCCATATGAATCCGTTATGACCTCTATAATGAACTCCATCTCGATGTCTCACTTCATCGTTGCCCGGAGGGTCCCACGTTTTTCCAATGGAGGGTGCCTTCAAATGGATCGACCTCAACCAAGACCCTCCAAGCTGTCCCACGTCTCTCCTTTCGAAGTGTTCCGTCCCAGTCTCCGAAAAAGACCTTGACAAAGCCCAGCGCGCTGCCGCAGCCGACACCCAAGGTCACCACCAACATGAGCTGTTCCTGCCGACCGGCCACGGATCGACAGGTGTTCCCCGGATCGGCCACCGAAGGGTCTCGTCGAGCTAACAGAAAACGGGTGACCGGAGGGTCGAAGTCGTTTTGGGGGGTATATACGTTAGTTACTGTGTCCGTCTTCCGTGAGGAGCGAGGCTTCAATAGAAGCCCGCAACATTGGCGATGTGACTGGGAAGTTCATTGACTTAGACGATGGGAACAAATTGAGAGCACTGATAATTTAGAAACATTTACAGTAGAAATCGTTTCAAAGCACTTGCAGGCAGCACTCAGGACTCATGATGCATTTCGACATATATGTCAATGTCGATGTTAGAATTGGGACATCAACAAACACAACAAGTTGCTGATTGCTCACAGGGCATGAGAATCACATCTATGCAAAAAACCTGCTGCTTTCGGTGAACTTTCTGGGATGTAGCTTTTAAGCTTCTCCCGTCATGCCCTAGTTCTGCTCTGTGGCGGCCCTTTCTCTGGAAAATCTGCAATCGAGTTAGCGATGCTTTTGGCCAAGTGTCTCTTTCAAAGGTGTCCCCAGAAAGGCTCTCCACCGTCTTCACCAAGGTTTTCTCAGATGCCGGCAGAACGTCCGCGCGCGCGGTGTGCACCGACGTTTAGGTCGAACGAGCACGTGGGGACTGAATGACAATGACCGAACAGCCCATGGGGCGGTACCCAACCCTACGAGTACATGATAATATCATGATATGAATCTAGAGTAGTAGACTCTTTGATTTGATGTAAACTTTAAAGAACACAGTCGGGTTGTAAGTCATCACAAATCATCACAAGACCTCATCATGTTGAAGGTGTTATCAATCAATACTCTACATTATCACATCACCAAGTTGGCAAGGATCGACAGGTTTCAAGTACTTTCCAGCCCCCATGACCATTTATCTGTTCGACACCCTGGGCCGCCAATGTTGGAAAATCACCGAAACACATGGAAACTCAAAACAGCTCGGCCGTGGTGGTTCAACTGCAAGTCAGTGGTTCAGGCGGTTGTTCAAACACGATCGACTGGGTGGAATTTTGTTTTCACCCGATCACACCCAAAACTCTGTCGGATGTTTGCGCAGCAGGATCATAATTAATTGATCTATATATAATGATATATATATATATATAGAAATATAATTACAGTAAGTTATAAGTTGTGAGTTATACGTCCGGCAGGATCATTACAAGTCCGGCGACCATCTCATTATAAGTTCTTAGGTCAGGAGCATGTGAGCATGTGTTTGCCGTTCCATTTTCTGCCCGGCAGCCAGCTGTGGCTCACACCAGGCCGCGAAGACACCCACAAAGAAGCCGTAGGAAGAGATGACCTGGTTTCTTCCGTTTCGGGAGAGACGGAGTGTTGACGGGACCGTCCGGATTGACAGCGCCCGGTTCTGCTCCAAATCCATCCCAAGACCTGGTCCCAAATGGATGAATCGAACACTTCGCGAAGGTTGGCCACAAAGAATCATCCCCCCACAGCGGTCCAGAAGATGGACACTGAGACACATCTAACATCTAACTGATCCCGTGTTGAAGTGTCGGGTACTTGCCCCAGACACGATGGAATTCATTGACCCGAGGAAATCATGCCCGTCTAATTTGTCGTGTCTGGGTGCTATTGAACCACAAACCCGTGATCACACCCAAAGGACAAATCCTTGCTCCCAACTTCTCCTTGGAGGGTTCTCTTGCCACACAAGTCCTGTTCTGTACAAGCACCAAAACACAGCAACAGTAGACAAATGGACATGATTTCTGAAACTGCACACTGCACACCCTGTTTCTTGGGCGGTCCCTTCATCTTGAGACACTCATGTTTGAGACTCAACTCCAGGCTGGCTGAAAATTTAACTGGCTCCGAATTGGGTAACTAGCTCATTCAAGCTGCTCCCGCGAGTCTATTGGACCAATCCCTTTCACTCCACTAGCCACTTTAGACTTTGACAGGACCTCGCTTCACACTGAGTTCCAACAGGACCAAACTGCCCAACTGAGTTCCACACGCTGGACGGAGATTCAAACAATTCGTCTGATTGTTTTGAACATGTTTGAACTATATAGATGGTGCGTCTTCCTGTTTCGAGGCCTTGACTTTGAGAGGGCCGGGAGTCCAGCTCCCAACACTTTGAGACCCCAAAAAACAGCTGACCAATCCTGGATACTGGCGCATATGATGGAACCTTCTCACGCCGGGCGGCTATCAAGCATGTCAAGGGCCTTGGGTCCTCCGGTGCCAGGTAAATGTACTTTGCCTTAGCCGATCCCCAGTCCACCGGCCGAATCGAGGGCTGAATAGGACGTCTGTACCTGACGGGCAGGAGGTGTGAACTGCGGCAATTAAGAAAAGATATATTGCAAAGCGACCAGGAGTCACTGGTTGGGGTGGTGTTTTGTCCCTAAGTGAGTGGATATTGGGCACCCTGACTTACTCGAATAGGCACCCTATGGCACCCTTTTGTGACGCCTGGCATGCTGGTCCTTTTGACCCTGTTTCATCCTTTTTCACTTTCTCTTGCAAACAAAGGCTAACCATTTCCGGTACAATACAATTCAAGACAACCATTCTGCAAAGAGCCTTAAAGCTTCGCCGTGACCCTCGACCCGCACCTCGCGAGGTGCGCCGCGCGGTTCCGACCCGGTCACGTGCGCGAGCTGCAAGGCGGCTCGATCCCCCAGGGGCACAAGCCCCATTTCCAAACCTCGGGAACTGGAGGGAACTGGAGAAATCCTTACTAGCTGTTGAGCGGGAGCCTTTAGGATTGGAGTGTTTAGTGTATTTCACATAATAGCAACTTAGCCTTCAAAAAATGGAGGAAAATGGAGGAATCTCTTGGATGTGGAATCTCCAAATGTTAGGTTTACCCTTCGCACTTCGCGCTTATATAGCGCACATGGATTGTAGCAAAGCACACTTCCCAACACACCTGTGCCCTCCGCAGCTGGACCATCCTGTCAAAAGCTGTGCTTCCGCACCATCAGTTGACCCAAATGACCCGGTCGTGGGTCAAAATTTGGAACTTGGAGACTCAACATCACCCTTCAAAGGAGAGTACTCAACACACTCCATGGGACGTCCATATTCGTATACCGTATACTTGTATATACTTGTACTATCTTGTACAGTACTAATTTTCTGAGCTACGAACTGAGACTCCAGGTGCAAAAATGAGTCTTAAAACATGTCTTATATATCTATACCTATAGGCTTCGCTTGTGTTGCCTGTTGCGTTTTCCAAGGCTTGGCACCAGTCAAGGCACTATGCCACAAGCTGAATTAAATGACCATCGTACTTTTCATGTGAAGCAGAGCACCACTCATCATTCAAGAATGCCTGGCACCATCGATGGCGATGTCTTGTCTGAGGCACTTGGGCCAGTGTGTACTAACGCAACTGTTTCGTGTGGCCAGTGGCTTCGTTTGGGGCTTCGTTCACTCCTTTTCGAAGCCAATCCTGGAAGACTCGAAGGAACCGTCGAAAAGGAGAGGCTTCGAGAACGAGGAGGCTTCGGTTTTCCGGCTTCGGAAGGTGGTTTTCCGGCGTCCACCTGGTGAGAACTTCCCCCACGCTTCGCGCCACTTCCACTCCCTCCGATGTGAGAACTGGTTCCGCCCGGAGCACCGTGCTGGAACACCGGAGAGCGTCGTTCCCCCGATCGTTCACACCCTACTCCACGTCGTCAAGGGTCTGTTTTCCTTTTGGGTACATGTTTCGGACCGTTCGCTGGTTCGTGTTGGCATCACAACAGAATAACACATCTATCATAAATGACCCTATTAATTTCTTTTTTTCCAGGTGTGATTGCCTGCTAGTTGCAATGTGTTTGGTGGGTTCACCTGTCCTTTAAGGTTGTTTCCAGCGACACGAATCCCATGCCAAGATATGCCAAGTGCTTCTGTTGGGCTCGACTCCCTGCAACATCTCTTCAGAAAGCCCTGCCCATGTGGAACTCATCACCGAGAATCCCATAGTAAAGATCGCAATGCCAAGGAAGCAGGCTGCGAGACTCAGGAGGATCCTAGCTGCTAGCCGCTGGCGTTCACTGAGGGGAGTGGCCCAACCCCCAAACCTGTCGTTGGCCCAAAAGGCTGTCCAAAAGGCTGGTTGTTTGAAGAAAGGTCCTGGTGGATGTCCGGGCTACAAGCGAATCGTCCGTCCGGTGTTTCCAAAACAAATCTCACTGCAGTTCCTTCTGTCCCTCCAACGGACTCAGCCAGGGCTCTGCCTGCACCCAACCTCATTAAAAAAAGAAAACAAACGGTAGTAATTAGTAGGCTTAAGGACTCCAAAAAAGAGATATAAAAGCCTACTCAGCCTACTAAGCCTACTAATTCAGCCTACTCAGCCTATATGAAAACCTCCTACTCAGCCTCAGCCTGTTCCCGTCTCAGCGCTACTCGGCCTGTCCCAAAGAGAAGCGTCTTACCGCCGTCGCGGACCAGTCGATCGAGGGCGAAGCCGTGCCCAGCGGCGTGCTGAGCTCGGGTAAGGTGCCCAGCTCCCGGTAGAAGAGCACCTGATGCCAAGATGTGCATCCGGTTTCTGATGCCATGAAATGGGAAAATGGTATTACCGAGATGGAAGAGTTTCTTCCTAAACAAGTTATGAACATGTAGGTGTCCTGTACAAGTGTGAATTGTTTCCCGGACGCGGGAATGTGTGATATGACATTTGCGGGCAGACTTCGGGGCAAGGTGGATCAAGGTGGTTCCATGATCGATCCACCTGATTCTCATGTGAGCGGCGGACAAAACTTCTTGGTGTTCCCAATGCCAAAAGTATTTTAGGTTGGCCTCTTTCGGTTTCCAGTGTTTTGGAATGCACAGGCAATAAGCTACTTTCAATCAAGCAGGGGTATCGGTATAGGTTTGGCCCCTATCGGTTTTGCAAGGTGTTGACCATTTCAGAAATACTTGATTAATGCAGCTCATGACTAAAGTACATGTACAGTGTACGGAAGTTTTGTCGGATGCTCATGTAGAACTGTAGAATCAAATGGGATCCGGACTGTTGCACCCTTCCATCAGTTTGTCATGTTTCGGTCTCTCTCCGAAAAGGGACACTGGTACAAGTTACCCACAACCAGGTCACACATGCAAGCAAAAACCGTCGCATTCGATGCAATAATATTACTACCAGCCGTCACTACTACGGGTGCCGAACTTGGAGGAAGTCGGGGTGCCCAATCTCCACTCACTGGATGGGACAAAACACCACCCCAACCAGTGACTCCTGGTAGTTACTATACTAGTAATGCCCCCGTGTTTATGAACCCGATGCTTGATGCCCTCCGTTCGATCTGTAGGGCACCCTCCGCTCGGTGGTGGCCGCCGTTATCTGAAACACACCAATGAGGACAGTTGCAGAACATCCTATTTCATGACCTTGGAAGACCTTACGAAATGCGGCCCCTCCACTTCATGTGATCCACGCACCCAAAAATGGTTCCAAGCGACAAAATGAATCAAGAGAAGCAAACCTCGCTGGAGAACACGGTTTCAGCACACGCAGCTTCCCGTCGAGTCTTGATGAGACCCACCCCAGCATGAATTGATGCCAAACAATGGCAACTCTATTGCTTGTAGACTTCAATTGCATTGCATCTCAAGAATCTTGGTTTGATAGGGCGCCCGGTATACGAACACCTGTGGACGTCTGCCATTCAAATACACACCTTTACAGCGGACGCCAAGGCCAGCATCCAAACAACCAATGCGAATCTGCCCTTCTTGTGTTTGGAGGACTACAGCAAAATGTGATATGTAATCAGCGTGAACACTTTGTTTCTGGCTGTTCTTTATTTGTTACATTGGACAGTCCCAGCTTGAAAACCTTCTGAAAAACCACTTGCGAAAACCGCGAGCTCACCGCTCACCTTCTCTCCGTCTGCTGAAGGTGCCCTCAGTGCCCTCCACCTCGACGTCCCAAGAAACCGGAGATTGGACCCAGTGTGCACGAGGCCGTCGCCCACGAGGTGGCGAGGACCTCCTCGAAGCGCTTCGGCTTGGGAAGTCCTCGAGCTGAGCGTTTTCGGTGTTCGGTGTGAACCGGCGGCCAGGGCGCACGAGGCTGGCGGATTTGGATCCCCAACATGGAACCAATATCTCCATTATAGGTGAAGACGGTGAAGACATGTGAAGACGGAAAATACAAACGATGACATCCTGTAAATCCCTGTAGTGCGGCAGCTGGGTTTCAACATGATTTTTTACACCTCGACGCATCAAACAAATTCATTCGTTATCTTTGGCCAGCCACAGGAAAGGGAAGGAATGACAAGCAGCTGAAAGTTTCAGGATGTTTTTTTCAGTCTTGTTCACCTTCAAAGGAAGTTTTGACATCATCCCCTTATTTCAGAGATGGTCCTTGCGTCTTGCGCCTTCAATTCTTGTGTATACTTAATGATCCAACTTCCACACCGCGGCTTATGGAACAAGCTCCACTGGCCCGTCGGCAAGCACTGCTCCACAGTTGGAACCCACCAAGCGCGATCGAAAAAGGGGTCATTGAGCCAGGAATTGAACGTCAAATGCATCATGGTACATCTCTATGAGGAGCAGCCATGAATCTGAAGTGAGACAAGATGTTCATAGCAATGAATTCCAACTATAATTACTATTACTAATTCCACTATAGGAGAAATGGAAGGGCCCAGGGCTCTTGAGTGGGCGAAATCCCTCGAACTTTAGGGCTCTGGGGCAGGAAAGGGACCACATTGTGGCTGTACTAGGTGGCTGTGGCGCAATTTGTTGGCGTGATACAGGCCGATCATGGCATGGTGCTGGTCAATTAACAGAGACGGTCCGGCACAGTCAGTCCAAACAAAGACATACAATATACTGCATTAATTAATATGTAATACCAAAGTAATACCAAAGTAACTCCATTTAAAGGCAAGAAACGCGCCCCGCGTGGTCATTTTCACTCTGGAGTCACGTGGAGCCCCGCGTCCGTGTCTGGCCCGTCCCACGTCCGCCTCGCGCGGTCTGCGCCAAGGGTCCCAAGCCCATCGTTTTGTCTCCAAACATCGTGTCTTCTCCCTGGAGGGGCGCGGTTGGCAGGTTCCGGTGTGACCCAACCAGCGGCTGTTTTAAACAAAAGAAGAACGGGAATTCAAACACGGACATCAGCCTGAACGTGCTTTTTTTCTTTTTCGTGCTTCAACCTTTGGACAACTGCAGCCTGAACAGTAACATAGTGGTAGGATGTAGTACCTGATCTTCGTCCCGGTGCTTTCAGGTCCAAGATCAACACACAGAGCAGGAAAATACAGGAAACTACTTAAGAGTTTGCGCTTCAATTCTAAATCTTTCCGAGTTCTCCATGGATGTCCCAAGCCGATTTGGCCCATTTTTGTCAACAAAAAGGTCAACGGTCGTTTGCACCCCGCGCGGTCTGCCGTAGGTTCACCCCCAACAACATACCGCTCGATGTTCATGTGGCAACAAGGATGTAGCGGCTCCACTTCATCACTCCATCCAGTCGTACCCTCCGAACCTACATAACAGTGTCGAACACATCACCTTCTCAGAAGATGCGACCGGATTCCTCTTTCAAAGTCGAAACAGCTCGAGTCGACCACACACATCGGTCCACTCGTCCGGCCCCACGACGGACGGTCCCGCATGGGCGTGCCCAGGAGTGTTGACCGGATGTGCCCAAAGAAACAGATCTGCGGTGTTTGCCATGATCTTTTTTCAGGAGTCTCTCTCTCTGTCTCTCTACTATACAGAATAAACATGAATAAAAGAACCTCATGAAAGAACAGATAATGGTAGTATCTCTATGTATCTCTCTCTCTCTCTACTATACAGAATAAAAGAACCTCATGGCTATACATAGAGGATGATTTTAGACGCCGCCCCGTTTCGTGCATGAAGCCATGTCAGATGCACAAGCCTGGCGTCGACATCAAGACGGATCTGGAAGACGACTTGGCAAATGGCAGACTTAGCTTAGACATCCAAACCTATGAGCTGCCAGGTCTCATTCCCAAACACTCCATGTATGGCACTATTGCTATATATTAATCAATTTACATACACAACACTGGGTGCTTTCAGGGGTCAGAGTCCATGTCTCTTCCATGCATGGACCTAGAACGGCCTTCCGTCCTCCCAACCTCCGGCTTCCATCACCCAACCTCGGCGCGCTCCATCGCCCGCACGGAAGCTCCAAGGCACTTCGCCCATGCCCATGGTCACCAACCACATCGTCGCGACCTCGGTGTGTGGTCGACACTGGGACGGGGTCGGACGGGAGGGCAGTTGGTGCCGGAACCGGCGGCCAGCTGCGACAACACGACGTGGATTGGGTGTCTGACCCAAACAAGACGGGAAAAATCAAACAAAGTCAGTGGCCAAAAAGGTAAGTACATGTAAGTACACTCCTCTACCCTATCGGTCGAAGACCGGGCTTTGTAGGCTTTGCAATGTTCTCCGTCCAGGGCCATGCCATCCACTGCCGTTCCGAGTGTAAATATGCAGTGTGCGTCCGTGTAATAGCGTCGGATGTTGGATCAACTCGTGGTAAGAATGGATTTGGTATCAACCACCCTGGCATCTGCCAGACCCATTCCGGGTGCGGTGCGGAACTCGCTAGTTCCTGGGAGTGTCATACAAAAATTATGGTCTTCCACTTGAGAGGAGGGAGACACGAAAGGTAGGACAGCGGGAAGAGAAGAGAACGCGAGAGGCAGGAACAAAAATGCAAGAACATGGTAATTTACTGTATCCCCTCCGAGGCGACCTTTCGTAAATCGTAAATATATGTTCATATGCACTCTAATTGTTCAAACATATGCTCTGGAAATGTTCAAAAATATTCTTAGGAAAACAAACTTGCCCCATGGATCAGATCATCGGTGAGCATTGAATCGGAGCATCATAGGATTTGAACTATCCTGAAACCATAAGAGGCTCACGAAGACGCTCCCCAGGAGAGAATTGACGTGCTTCACAAAACAAACTCTAGGTATGTATCCCCTCGGGGAACACCTTTCGTGATTAGAATTTCATATGCACTCTTTCTGAATGTTCAAGAGGGTTTCAACTATCCTGAAATCATGAGAGGCTCACGAAGACGTTCTCCAGGAGAGAATTGAGTTGAGAGGGGGGGGGGTCTGTATTGAAAAATCAATTCCAAGGGGGCGAAGGGGGGGGGGCGGGGGGCTGTATTGAGGAAATCAATTGGAGGGGGGGGGGGGGGGGGGGGGTTTGAATTGAGTGATCAATTATTAGACCCGGACGTCCCAACACTTGCTTCGCAAGACAAACTCAAGGTACAGTATCCCCTAAAGGGCTACCTTTCGTGACATGCCTTTCTTGATGAAACCACTTCCCTGGCCTAAAGAGGTTTTAACATTCATATTCTGGGGGTGGTTCCATTCAGTCTACATGATGATCCACCAGAAATCCTTCGCCTTGCTTGTTCGTTCCTCTTTGCCCAGGCGCTGGGAGCAACACCGAAAAGGCCAACACGCCGAAGCCCGCAGACCAGGCGGAGCCACCGTCCTGGCGTCCAGGCGGAGCTTCGGGGCTGCTGGCCGAAGGCATGAAACATAGGCTTCTTGCTTCAAGGGCTGAGCAAGAAGGATTCAGACTTTAAGAGATTTTAAGAGCCTTTTTCGACCATCAAAGCCATGATCTGCGGGCCGGCCCAATACTGGCCCGCCCTTCAGCCGAAAACCTCGGTCGGTAGGGCCTGATCTTCCAGATTCCACGGGGGTTGCCCCAGGGATGGCAGGCTCAGAAAGCGTCTCCAAGGAGGTGTTTCGCAGTGCGGTGACACAGTCTCAAGGTCTCCACCCATGGCAACTGCGTGACCCGACTCCCTGTTGAACGCCACCGGTGGGGTTTCCGCTTCACCGCAGCTGGCAGCCCCGCCAAAGGCTTCGGTCCAAGGCCGCGGCAGGGCCACGAGGGTCATTCGGTGTCCAGAGTCCACAGGTCGACGACGAAACGGCCCCCTCGGTCAACGGGGGTCGACACCCATGAAACGCTGTTTGCTTGCGGTTGCGGGTGGCGGTTTCGCACCATCTTCGACGGCACAAGGGTGGGGGAAGCGACCTGAAAAGTCTGATTTGGTCGGTCTTTTGGGGTTGGAACAAGTGTGTCTGAAAGTGACTACCATGATCACACACACACATTCCTTTCTTACACGGTGAGCGACGAAGACTGCAGAAGTCCGCAGACGTAGATGGAGTTGTCCAAATGCTCAAATCGCTTGGACTGCTCCGTGCATTTGTCAAAATCAACCCTATCACGAGAAAGAAATCCATCAAAAATACACAATAGCTGAACTATGTTGGAACTCTTCAACCAAAAAAACCGTCTCCCAGACCACCGCACCTTCTCGACCCCCTGACCCCCGTCGCCGGTCGCCTCTTGGTCCGAGAGCCGGCGCCGGTCGCGACTGCTCATGCCGATGCCCAAGCCCAGGAGGATGGGCGACGACACCGCGCCTAGCGCCGCCACCGGTGGCGCTCGTCCACCGGTGGACGAAGCAGGAACGGCGCTCGGTAAGTTCCGAGACAAAAAAAAACAGGAGGATCGATGTAGAGCGAGAAGCAGCGCTTCAAATTTGGCAAAGCTGGCACTATTCTCAGTCGCACAGCGACTGGTCCAATCGGAAGGGGTTGCCCAAACTTCAGGCTGTTGGTGCCAAAGTGCTTAACCTCATGTACACCATGCTTTCACGATGACCATCGGTCAAAGGCACCAGGCCACTTGGCTAGACAGTGTGTGCACGCATCTGTATTCATTGGTCGACTGCTAAGGCAATCTTGAAAAGTCTAGCTGCAACAAAACAAACGAAACGAACAGTAACCAGAGGCCACCTCCAGACTAAACCAGTCAGACGTCTTCCGGTGATGTATTTCTGCTGTCCAAACTTGCAGCTGTTGATGCACAGCCCAGCTGATCATGCGGACTCTCTGAGTCAATCTATTAAACAAATCTGTTGAATCCCCACGTCAGTGACCCGGGATAGCTTGTGCTAAGCATTTGGTAGGTATAACGGTAAACGGTATAACTATATACGTAATCTAAAGTGGACCTCCAGGTGCCTACAGAATCACAAGGATGTAAACCCCGAGTGTCCACATAATCCCCAGCACAAGGGCACTTGGGGCCAGGGAAACACTCTACAACATGGGCAGGTTGTAAAGGGGGATGGATAGAGGTCAGGAAACTCTGTAAAGATGCAAGTGTTTGCAAATCAGCTAGAGCTCAAGCTGGCAAAAAAAATATTCACAACCCATTTTGTAGTGTGTGTATCATTTGAACTCAGTTCCTTCTAAATCTGGTTCTATCCAATTGTAGTCGATTGAGTTTGTTAATATAACCTGTCGATCTGTTTATTCACGATCTTTTACTTAGGAGGCAGGACAAATGTGAACGTCTTTCATCCTTCTTCCCCAGTCTTCCTCCATCTTCCCCCCTGCCAGATAACCCATGCATAAGTGTCAAGTATCTTTACAAAATTGCAACGTTTTCTACAACATGCCTTCCGGCGTGTTCAAACCCACCTTAACTTAAATAGGAATGTCCACAGTTGTCTGCGCAGAATCACAAGTCTGCAAATCAGCATGTTGATACATGTTGTGGGTGCACTCAGATTTGATTTTCCCTCTACAAAATGCCAAACCTCAAAATGCAGGACAAGTATTCCTATTAGAAAAATGACTTATTCTGTCAACACGTCCCATTCTGTAGAGACAACCTGCAGGAGTATTCGCCCTGGCAGTGGTGCCACACCACTCCCCCACGCCTGAGGTGCCCGCGGCCATGTCCCAGGCGAAGCCTGCCACAGCCGGCAAGGATCCAGTGATGTTGGCCTCATCCGAACAGCAGGACATGGTGGTGTGCCAAAGAATTGTCGACAGTTTATTTTCATTCTTTAGACCTGATCATGAGGTCGAACACATCCATTGGATTGGGGGAATTGACGTGCATAAACAATCCTGTTCATTGTGGTTGATCAAAACAATAGCGGCCAGCGGCTAGGGAAAGAGGATGCTCTTCTTGGATAAGCACCATGTCTATCCATTTCTTCCGCAAACAGTTACAGGCCAATGGCAATGCCGAGCTGCACAGGCAATGGTGAAGACGAGCATGCCCGTCGTGACGCCAAAAATGACCTTCTTGATATTCAGTTTGTACATCAGCCGAGCGCCTTGTCACCACACATTGCACAGGTGAAAACAGGTCAATCTGATTCTCACTTTGTCGGTGGGACAATCCACGTGAGACTTTCCAGAAAACCTTCACATAATTTCTCAGCGTTGATGTTTGACGCGATCTGGCTGCAACCGGCCTGCAACGAATCAACGAAACGTCATGGTTGGTGTTCTTTCTTGGCTTCATTCCTATGCTAAAGCAAGTTTGTTGCAGCGAGATTCATGTCATTTCAGCAACCAACAGACCAACAGCGCCAGCAAAAGAAAACACCGAAAAATTGCCCACACTGGTCAAACGGTGCAGTTCTGCCCCGTGTTCGGGCGCCAAAATTCTGCCCGGTGACCCAAAACGGTGGGGGCATCGGATCGCAGCGCCAGCCCTGGAGCTGGGATGCTGGGGGGGGGTTCCCCAATCAGTTCTTTCACCCCTTACGTCACGAAGCATCGTTCATTCAAGAGAGGTTTAAGGGACTGGGAATGCCACGGGCTGACTGACTGACTGACTGACTGGCCTTGGCTGTCCGCATCTCGTGGTCCTTTGCGAAGGGCTTAACCTTTATGGTTTAGTAAGAGACCCCTTCTAAACTAAAACAAAAGGACTATATATATATATATGAGTACAGTCACTTGAGTGACTCACGAAATACGAAGAAACCCTCCTGCTTAAACAACTCCAAGATCTGATCACATTTCGGACAACAAGCGAAGCTTGCAGAGGTTCAAAGGTCCTGAAGTCGTGACAGGAACTTCAGGCCGGCAACGGCATGGAATTCTTTGAGCCCCCAACTGTGTGAATCCAAACCTGGACCAAACAAGGTTGACAAAGGCTACCAGCAGTTCTACTCGCAGTTGTTTGTTCATCAGGACCGATACTACCAGCCCAACACTCATCTGCGGTCCTTCATGTTGGGCAGTTTGTTGTCTCAGTCAAGCCACAGCCCAGCAGTGTCGCCAGGCCCACACTGACACTTAGCCAGAACAGGGTAACGACCGGATGGTCGGTGAGCATCACCATTCGCCTCGCCGTCGTGTCCCGTCGGTCTTTAAGATGAGCCGTGTCACGTCGGTCTCAACGCAGGGCACCATGACAGGTCCGGTGTTTTTGGGCCAAACAGGACACCAGGACCCGAACAGTTTTGAACCTTCGGTTCCTCTCATAACAGGTGTTCATATGATATGCAACATCAAAATGGATGTCTCCACTGAAAGAGAGTGTTATGCAGGCAAAAAGGAGTCTCTTGTTTTTTTCCATGGAGTCTTGGATGACAGCCTGCTTAGATGCTGCCTACACCATGGACCTTCTGCAACCTAGGCAAGAAACCATCTGCCACAGGATGTTTCTACAAGGAGGAATGTTCCTCAGTTTGAGGAATGGAAAACCAAAATGAATCAAGCCAAACATGATAACGCAGCTCCAAAACCATAGCTTCATCACAGGTTCCTTGGAGCAAACTGAACCATCCAGACCATCCAGCAGTTCCAGCAGGGGCTGTGGTCCGCGAGGATAGGGGTGCCCACTATCCACTCAGTTAGGGAAAAAAAACAATTCCTTGGGAACTCCTGGCATGCTGGCTGTGGTGTCGATATTTTTGCTTCACAACGATGCTTGACATCCTGCCAGGGGGCCGTGCACCAAGAGAGAGAGCTCCTTGGGAACTGTAGAGTTGTCGCACCGTGGCACTTAAGCTCCAAACGGTCGGTTCCGTGGCGTTGCACAAGAACTCAGCGAGGTGGGCTGGTGGACTGGATGCGGTCCGCGGGTCATCTTGAGCAAACAAACGTCTCCTTTTGGGGGGTGATCTGATCGGTGCGGCACACTTTCCATAGAACCTCCCATGTCACTTTTCAATCTTAGGGAAACTGGAAGGTTTTCCATAGTTTTCCTCCTGCCAGCCAAGCACAGATTGGAGGCGATCTGCAGCAGTGGAAACTTTCAACAACTGGACCACTGACATAAGTTGAAACATATCACCATAATATAACATAGTTATCCTGCAAATAACATGCATTCCCAACCCAACATATGGTCCTTGGTAGCCTTATGTTACTTCTCTGAATTGTCGGATTGACGAAAGGAAAGAGGTTCGGATGCTTTTTGGCATCTCTTGGCCACTTGGGAAGGGAGGTTGGGACGAAGAGCTGGGTCCCAGCTCTCAGGCCTTCGAACCATGACTTTTATTCTTCAAATGTCCCGAGGTCCTGCGACTTAGGTGGTGACCCACTCGACTTCTCGGGTCAGAACAAATACCGCGGGACGCCGTGTCATGACCATCTCCGTCCCAGCAGCCCCTAAAAGGAAGACCAAGATGTAGACCACCTCCGCCACAGCAGCAAGAGTCAACCAAACAAGACACGTGCTTCGAACATTAATGTAGACTGTTGATGGTGATTTAACAACTTTTCCCATTTGAATTGAACATGTTTGAACAACTTCTTCATGTGTATGTTTTGTATTAATCAAACTCGAGTCTATATTACCATCCTGCAGATTCATGATGAACCAATCAAAACACGCTGGGTGGTCGATTCAGATGAGTCGTTTTGGTCCATGGTCTTACTACAAAAGTACAGGAGCAAAGAGAAGGAGATTGAAACATGTGGATCTTTCTGTAGGTCTTAGATGCTCTAGTATCTCTAGTGACAACTAGTGACAACAAAACTTCCTGATTGAGTTCTCGCAAAATCTGTGCGTCTGGGCATGCTTCCGGAGCAACTGCGTCTCTGACCGTCTGCACCGCGCTGCGCCGCGCTGCTCTGCCTGCTTTGAGGTTTTCTCCAGCAATGCTCGGCCCACCTCCTCGCCTTTGGAAGACATGGGGCTGCAGTGAAAACAAGTGACGACGCGTTTTCCATTTGACAGTGGGGGTGTTGGAGTTAGCCTTGGTTTTAGAGCCACAGAAAAGAAAAACAGTATACATACTATCACTAGACTATAATATTATGTGATGATATTGTGGCTTGAGAGAAGATTGATAGAAAGGTCACTACCATTTAAGAAATGTGGATTGTAGTAGATGTTACTTGCATCTATTTTGGAGACCCCTATTGATACCCACTAAAGAAACACAGTAGGAAGACATAGTCATGCATAGTCTATAGTCGTGATACAGAAAGGTCAGTTGACAATACATGACAATACATGTAGCGTGCAGCTTTTTTCGCCATTTGTTGCCTGTCAGCGCTAGAAACCTCTTGTGTGAGGCATTTCCTGCCGTCAACTTAGCACTTTCCACCCTCTTATATAACTCATCTTAACTCATAACAGAGCGATGGACCACCGCCTTGCAAGAAGTCTCAACGGTTCTGCTATGTCAATGTCTATCCGAAATCCAAAAAGAACTAATCTTTGGCAATCATCCACATAAGAATTAGATTTGATCCAAGAGTCTTGAGAGGAATACTCCATCTAGCCACGGAGTGGGTTCGTTTGCAAATTCTAGCAGTGTTTCCTTCTCAAGCACTACATCTCGTTTCCAATGTTTCCATCGCTTCGTCAACAGGGACCTTCACGGAACAAGGTACGCGGCAGATGGCAGAAACCAACAAGAAATGGATAGACATGAGAAATGGTTTGTTTGTTCACAAGCCTGATAATTAAAAGGACCTCCAAACCCTCACCAAGCCTCCACAACCTCTTCATTTCGCCCGGTGAACGCAGCTGGGCTTCCGCACTCAGCGGCATCAGCCCAAAGCGTACTCCAAGGCCAAAGAGGCCAAGGCCCACCACCTAGTGGCGCGACGGACTGTCCGGTCCTATATTACGGTACTGTCTTTGAAAAAAGCGGAAGTTTGTGAACTAAATCTAAAAATGGTCAGCTGACTGAAACCTGAACCCTTCCAAACCCTGCATTCACTCCAATTTGTTGTTGGAGTCCAACCTTTTGGGCCAACCTCTTAAACCTACGGCTGGGCCGTACAGCAGGCAAGTCCGGCAAGTCCCTGTCCCCTCCAAAACTCACCCCAAAACTCCGCCCAAAACCGGGCTCGGGCTCGGCCCTCTCCCCACCGTGAGGCAGCCCCCGATGAGGATGGACTCATCGGCCAGTTCGCTGTCGATCACCACCCTGGACGGTCGCGACGCGAGCCACGACTTGTCGGTCGCGACGCGAGCGGAAGATCCGCCTGAGAGGTCAACGAGAACAGCACCGGCATTGAAAAGGAAACGACATGAAAACCATAGAAGAACGACCAATTCTGGCAGCCTCTGGTAGGGTATCGCGGCTTTTTTCCTGCTTGTTTGTGGCTGAACTAAGAGCGTGACACTACGTCTAAAAGTCCTTCCCTTCTGGCACGATCAGTGGGATACTCAATCTGCAACGGTCTGACCAGCCCTGGTGATCCCCTCGTTCTTTCCAAGCAACGCTGAAGGGCCAGAAGAACTATCTTATCTGGTCACCCCATGGTCATTAGCTGAGATGAGTGACTACTTTCTTACTGGTCACACCAGTTGCCAAGTGGCCAGCAGAACACAACCATGAAGCCACAAAGGCTTGTTAAGCCTGTACCTCAGTAATTACCCGACTTGGCTCGACCAAGAGGTGGAAGGTGGAAGGGGAGGAACTAGTTGTGTACCTGTATTGCATGTCAGTATATGTCAGTATCAATTTACAGTGGAACGAGGAATGTTTGGGTGTTTTCAGGTCTCCCGCTTTCCATTCTGGACCATCTAAGGGGTCCCAACGACGGACCGGCTTCCAAAAATCACTCAAAGGTCCAGGTCTATCCCACTGGCAGATGAAAATCCTGTATAAGGAATTTCCACAGGATTGGAGGCAAAACACATCAACTTAAACATAACTCGACAAGTCAAGACTCGTCTGTGCACACTTTCCTGACTTGCTCTGAAGGGTGCACTACTACAGAACCATGAGTTTGCCACCATCTGCATCAAAGACTGACTTCAGCGGCCCAGTCCTAAGTAATGTCTCGAGCTTCCTCCTTACAATGCCTTACAACTTGGATTAAGGAATTATATAAGGAACCGGACAACATATTAACAAAAACAACAGAACGGGATTCACCATGATTCACCCATAATTAGTGAAAAGATGTGAAAATACATGAACATACCCATCACTCCAAAATGCAAAACCAAGACTCACTCAATCTGACTCCACGCCCCTTCGCCATCCCCGAGCCCCTTTAGGACATCGAACCCACCGCTCGATCCCGTGCATCGCTCGACCGCTCGCCTTTGGGGTCCACAGTTCGGCGGTGCGTCGCCACGTTGCCCTTGAACACATCTGGTTCACATTCCCAAACACGACCTGTTTGGGACCTGTCATATTTACCTACAGTATCCTACAGTAAGGGGTGGTTTCAGGGATGAATGAGGGCATATATGATAGTCCCATAGAGCGTCTGCGATTGAGTCGGGAAAACCCGTTTCCATAGGTTTTGCAGCTTCTCCACGCCCTTCGTTCGGCGTCGGCGACGCGGCCACGTTCGGCGTGGACTGGAGAACGAACGGCCGAAGACTGGTGCGAGCGGTGCCGGTGCGCCGTTTTGGACCAAGCGGCAAGTCTGAAAGAAGTCCTTCAAAGCGTCCTGGGCGGAACAAACGTGCCGAAAGGACCTTTGAACGGTTGGGGAAAGAAAGATAAAGAAAGGACTCCATGTTGTTTAACCAGGTTGTAAAAACAAGCACAGTTTCTTGGCAACGTCTTCCTTCAACATCAACATCTTCAGCATCTTCAGGTCAAAGAAAAACACCTGATTCTTCGGCTTTTACGGTGTATTCTTCGAGTTTTCCACCCACTGGAGCGGGCTGCTCCACTTAATCCGAGAGTCGGTTCTGGGAACTCCGTGACCCGCGGACCCTCGGACCGTCGGGTGGTGGTGCCCCCCTTCGGTCGTCGGTCGCGGTACCGTTGAAGTTCATAGGCTGTTTTGACCGGTCCCAACCGAGCTGTTTTACTGATCTACACTGAGTGAAACCAGGTCGAGACAGCCAGGGCTGTGGTCTAGGTCGAAAGGACGGTGGGCGAGTTCACGGGCGAACGGGGCCTATCTGAAAGACAGAAACAGGAGAACATCACTTGAGGATGTTCGATCTCTACTCAAAGCCAAACCCACACCAGGGTGACTCTGGATGACCCAACATAACTCAGCAAAATTGAAAAATTGATCCTCAAGCAAATGGCTCAGACCTCCTGAGCCTTCTTCAGCGATCGGAAGCTAGGACGGGCACTGTTTGGCACGACTTCGTTTGAACCAAAAGACCATGCCATTTCGAACCAAAAGGAGCGCAATGGCTTCAATTTGGATGCGTTCTGGGGATTCAGTACCTTGAGTCTCCAATGACCCTTTCAAATTCGCTTTTCCAAGAAAAAGAGGTTTCTGGAAGAAAGCACTCTTTTTTGCATATGTCACGAAATGTTACATGTTTGTTTGTCCCCTGACAAATCCTCCTTAGACAGTGTCCTGAGACCTTTTTTCGGCGTCCAAAAAGGCGTCTTTTTGCGTCCAAAAGGTGTCTTTAAACGTCTGCACCAAACACGTCCGGATGAAGATTCACTCTGTACCTTTTTTTGAGTCCTCATCTCTGAAAACGCGTTTTTCAAGCAAAAACACAAAGTATTAGACCAAAAACAAAAAAAAAAGGTCTTCGGAGACTCAAGGTATATCCACCGAGACTATTTTTGTTCAACGTGCAAACACAAAAGTCTGTGCACCGAATCATTAGGGATATATCCCCCAAAGTCCCCCCAAATGGACCCCCAATCTCATATATGTAAGGCTATAAACCAAAAAAACAACAAAATGAGTACAAAATGGAAGAAACACCACGGATAGTCTACGTTGTTCATATTCATTCTCATCCACCCCCTCGTTTCAACGTCCGCGCGATCTCCCGTTGGCCAAGCCGCTGTGGAGGCGGAGGGAACGACCGCTCCGGACGCCGCGCCGCCCGTGGGCCCGGTGACGGTACTGCTGCGGCTGAGGCCACCTGGGCAATCGGAAAAGCTGCAAAATTGGATGGAGAATGGAGAATGGACACATGGAATCTAGATTGATTATGATTGACTTATATACAGTAGAACAAAGCTGGTTCTTTCGAGGATGAAGGAACTTGGAGTATCTGTAAGTCAACCTCGACCCTGAAAATGCAAGTTTCCTGACTTTGGGTCGATTTGGCTGAACCCTCGTCTGTCTTTCAACGTAGGAGGATGGCCTCTTCTCCTGTGAGAGCAAGCAGCCTATGGTCAAACATGTGACAACCCAGGACCCTTTAAACCCGCTACACAACACGGACAACCTCGAAGAGGTCCACTTACGTCCACCTACCATGCCAAGCATCTTATTGCCTCCCCAACTCCCCACTCCCGTGATATCCAGTGATCTCTTTATTGCCATGTCCTTGAAGAAAACAACGGGTGATGCAGAAAAACACCTGAACCTTTCGGAATCTGCGCGAAAGGTGCGGCGAAACAAACCCAAAAAACAACATTACACACACCCACCTGGATGTCTGAAACATTAATGGGTGTCATTAAACACATACTAAGTATTAAACACACCCAATAGAACACACACAACCAACCCACCTGGCTCATCCACCACTGCTACTCGCTGTCCCGGTCGACTCGCTCGTGTCCCAAGGCGCCGGTCCAGACGCCGCCGGAGATGGACCTCGAAGACACGGTCGACGCCATCCATGGCGTGGTCCGCGCGCGGGTCCCCGCGGTCCCCCGCGGCCGGCGGGAGATGGTCGGGGAGATGGTCGTGGTCGGGGGTTCACGCTGACAAAAGGGTTTTTGTTTTTTTTATTTTTTTGGGGGGGGAGTCATGGGTGGATGGGTAGTGGTCATAGGACTCAGGTGTGATGGGTTTGGATCTGATGGTGGAGCCTGTATATGCATGCATATATAGTTACCGTTTACTACTCTCCTTTTGGTGCTTTCGTTTATTTTCTCACACTCTCACGACGTTATTCTAATCTTGCCTTTTATTGTTGTCTTGTTTGCTGTGTTTTTTTTGGTGTCTTAATATAATACTATCTTGATTATACCTTTTGGAAACTTTTGGATACGCGTGTATGACTGACTGGTTTTGAAGCGGTGTAGGAACATGTGTGTGTGTGGGTTTGTGTGTGTGTGGGTGGGTGTGCGCGCGCGTACGCACGCCGTGTCACAGTCGGCGCCACCCGAGAAACTTGGCTTACTGGGGGCGGTACATGGGAGGTCCGTGTCATCTTACCAATCATCTGTGAGGATCTAGCTTCACTATGCGGAGTTTGCAAATGCTGCAGATAGAGTTATTCAAGTATGTCAGGTCAAAAAGCAACTATGAGTCGGAGCATTCTGAATCCAACAACAAATGTGACATTTAGATTATATACCAGTAAATATGAAGTGATGTGAAAAAAACACATGATGCTGCATGCTGCATGATGTAAATGCATGGTACGGCTCGTAAGCCGATTCGCCATCATAAGCCCCAGATGGTCCTCTGTTGGGGTTTTCGAACCAGTGCTCGCCCGTTTCCTTCCATCCCACCCGATCGATCTCGGTCTCGCTCCCATTTTTGGGCGAAGAGCCGGGCGGAGAACCGAGCAGAGGCAGGCGGACAGCGGAGGTGGTCAAAAAGATTGGACAAAGATGATGGTATGATTTTCTGATATTTTCTGATGATTTGCATGGATATGGATGTTCTCCCCCAAATCATCTTCAAATCCCTAAATCTTCATCAAACATAGGGAGATAGACAAATCCATCCTGATATCCTGTTCACCGTGCTTTGTCTATCGTTGCCCGTTTGCTGCACACACACACACACAGAATCTGTGGGTGTCATCACTGGGCTGTGATTGTGTCAGAGATGTTGAGATCTCGCTTAGAATTGCAAAGTCCGACGAGATTCAGCTACTGAACCCACGCGATGGGCTCTCACTGCTCGCTCATGCTCACCACAAGCCTTGGTCGGTGGGCTCCATCGGATTTGTTGGGTGCACGGTCACTCTTGGCACAACTTTATGCCTTTAGAATGTGACCACTGATGTAAGCCCTTCCTTAGTCAAAAGATGTCAGAAGGGTGCATATGGATAGGCATCACCCAGGACATCCAACTTTCAACTGGACAAAGGGAACACGATTCCTGTCACTTCCTGTCTCAAATTCATTTATGACAACCACCCAACCTGAAATAATAACCTGAGCCATGGAACCTGGTCTGGAAACAGCAACAAGGAAATACGAACACACCTTCACTGACCTTCACCGAACTGCTATAAATACAAATTAATATAAATATAAATTTACAAATTACACCGGCATGAATCCCAGATGGCAACTCTGAAACAGAAGCGCCTGCGACAATCAGAGAAGTGAGGAGACAGCTGGGGAGAGCAGCGGCAGCGACAGCAGTGCGGGAGCAGTGGAGCACAACACAACACCGATCAGCCACCCAATCCCACTGTCGTCCTCCACTACGGAGAAGTAAGAACCTGGGAATTCTCAGGTGAATGATGAGTAGCAAAGGGCATCAGCTACTGAGAAGTAAGCACCTGGGAATTCTCTGTAGCGTCCTTGTTCCTAGTAGCGATGCCCTTTGCTACTATATTTGCGTCCGATCGCTCCTATAGTAAGGCCAGCTAGGTTTGTAGCGTCCCATCGCGTTCGTAGCGATGCTCTTTCCAGCTTTCCACGAATTCTCTGGGGAAATCACCCCTGTTGGGCGGACCTCGGCCGTTGGGAAAGACGAACGTCCGACGACCGACGACCTCCGTTCACGTCCACTGCGACGCCGGTCGTTCGGTCAGCCGAAGCCGCTTGGTCAGCTCGCCCACGGAGGGGTACTCGAAGATCAGTGACGCCTCGCGCCGCGGGGCATTCGACGCTTTGGAGCGGCGAGGTCGGAAGGTCACATGACGTGATGGGTCAGGTGGTCAGGTGAGTCTGTTCCTTGAAGGGGGATGAAGAGGGTTTTCTGTTCAAAGCTTGCTTTGAGAAATCATGGATGCATTTCTGAGTGTGTATACTAAAATAGAGAGACCCTCCAACCACTGGGTTTTAGTTTATAATTCTTCTTCAAGGGGGTCTGTCATAGTTTCATACATGCACCCATGTGTTTCCTGTCGGAAGAGTCCAAGCATCTTTCGCCACACCTTTCACACCTGATGCAACCAAACCACAAAAATGCGCACTATAGTAACTCCAATTCCAGCCCTGTGCCACACCCGATGGTCAGGCCCAGCGCAGCAGCACGGGCGACCCGTTTCGGAGGACGAAGACCACTTCGGGGATCGTCGGGTGTTTGGGCATGGCCCTCCTGCCAACAAACATGCAAGTGGACAAGCCCCTGTTTGTAGGGAAACATGGGCTTTTCAGTGGTCATTCTCCACTTCTATGATAGTTTCCAGCAGGGTAACTCAAGTCCGCAGCTTTGATGGATACTCCTCACACAGCATCCTCCAAACAGGTCTCCATTGAATTGGCAACCTGTAAAGTTGCTGGTGTGGATGTTCTGCAAGGTTTGGGTTTTCTCATTTGAAGATGACTGCAATGTGGCTTTGGGGATCCATCGAAGAAAACTGAAAACAAGAGGATGTCAGTAGCTGATTGTAGCAGGAGGTGCAACTCTTGAGGCTTGGCTACGGCTGGGAGGACACCTCGAAGGTCACGATTGTCAGTCTGAACGATGGCTGTTAGCCCCCGTCAGTTCAGGAACCATGAGGAACCCGTAGGTCTTCTTTGGTTTGCAGTCAGTGTTGCCGGAGAACTTCGAATCCAACAATAAACTTGGTCACCAACTCGGAACAGGATGGTGATAGTCTGTCCACATCCGGATCGGATGCATCGTCTTATCGTTTTCAACCAAGTCGCAGGCAAGTCCAGCTGGAATCGGTTCGACAGGTCGTTGCGGAAGGCCACGCTCGTCAAGCTGTCCTTGGCCGCGCGGAAGCGCGACTGCCCGCGGAGACTGCGCCATATTATGTGTTCCACTCGTCACGATTGCTGACGAGGAGGTGATTCCCGGCCAGAAAACTAGGAGATGGTCCAGGGAGGCACGAAACTCATGGAGACACGGCACGGTTGTAGCACTGAGACACTCTCTGAGATCACTTGACCCTTTTTCGGGGTGAAAGAGCCCAAGGTCTGGAAGATACGTCTCAACCCGAGGTCTGCCAGATCCCCTTCTCCTGGAACTTCGTCCGCGTCTCTCGCCAAGGATCGCCAAGGGGTGCCCATGGAATCTATATATTATTGATATGAAAACGAACTACTAGCCAAACCTTAAACATGCTAAACATGCTTTAACCATGACCATATACAACCTAAAGGTCCCACCCACACCCATGTCAAGAATCTCCCTGTCACTGCCACATTTTGACTCAACACATTGCCACATTGCTTGAAATCAGCTCATCATAGCTCATCCATGTTTGACACGACATGTGGTTTGCTTTTATTTGATCTGCATGTTTGAGCAACCCCACTATAGATTCCTTTGGATCCGTTCCCTCGTTCCTTGCTAAGCACCTTTCAGTCATTGGGTCATCTGATTGACCAAGAGCTTCAAAGCTCCATACATGTTGCGGTTCAGTCTGCCAAATGTCCATCTGAAACAAACAGTCCTCAATGGTCCAGGCAGAAACAACAAAAACATGCCTCCCCCCAGGGCTTCAAGCAATGGACACTCACATGAAGTGAACGAACATCTGGTTTGGAGAGAAAACCTGTCTTCCAAAAGAGTCATGATGGGCCATCTGTGTTGTTCTTTGGGGGTGAAAGGCTCCGCCATCTGCTGAGTCTTTCCCCTACTGTAGATCTCCTTTTCAGCAAGCACACCGTTCCTCCCAGTGGCCATCCCCATATCCATCAACACGCTATCGTCAAAGAGCTGGTCCTGGCGAAGCAAAGAACAAATAGGTTGGTTGGGACAGCAAAGGGTAGGTTGCGGGTGGACAAATAAGAAAGCCATTGAAAGGTGTAGCATCCACCTGAAAAAAGATAGAAACGTTGTCTTTCCTGCTGAGCATCCTCCCATATCCTCCCCTTTTTTGAGTATTTGACATGCAGCTGTTGCTCATGTCCGCTTTGTTGCGGCCTTTGTGGGGTCAAATTGGGCAAGGGAAATCCAACGATATCCAACGTCTTCTCCAATGAGAAGTCTGCCTTGCAACGTTCTTCCGCCAGCTTGTGAGAACAAGAACTACATCCGTCAGTGCCTGATTTGGAGAGATTCGGAGAGGTGTCCATTTGAGTTTGCTTGCAATATGTCTTTAGGGATGTATAATTCATCTGTTCACCCATTTAGTTGAAAATACTTCATAGCTTGCATTCCCAAGGTTCAAACCTTCTGGTGGAAATCCTTTGTGAAAAACCTTGTTGACAATCTATCGAGTGCCAAACAATTACCTGTTTGTAGAAGGCCGGGGCCCCCCATGAAGCCACCAAACCCTAGGTGTCTTTCACCCCAAATAGAGCAAAGAATTCTATTTTCCTGGATTCTAAATCCCGTAGCTCTGGCTTCCTCCTGAATTCACCTGGCATTTGAACTCAGACCCTCAGACTGCTCATGTTTCATCTTCCCACTGCTCCTCCCCCTCTCAACCCGCTGCATGCGCTCCGTCTCCCGCCCCCCAAAACGGCCGACCCCCAGCACTCCGTTGAGTCCTCGGAGGCCACGGCGTCCTTGGCCAAGTCCATGATCAGCGAGCGCACCGAGTGGCGTTCCCTCGGGCGCGGCTGCACCGGCGTTCGGTCAGAGGCGTTGGAACGCCCAGTCCGGCGCGGCTTGAAAAACCAAGCCGGCGGGCGGAGGGGTGTCATGGCTGAGGAAGGGAAACTAAGGTCAACCAAACGCTGTAACATGAAGCTCGTAGGAGGCTTGGAGATGTCGCAACAAAATAAGGAATAAATGGGCCACGGGTTTGGGTCAATTATTGGAGACCAATGCGGAGACCAGCGCATCTTGCACCAAAAAGTTCGAGGGCTATCGTGGAGGAAATGCGGGACTACTCTCCATGCAGATTTAACCACTGATTTGCAGAGGAAAATAGTCTTAATTACTCCAGCTGCTCTTTCTCACTCTTTTCATACTGTCTCATTCCCTACTCTACACACCTCTACACCGGCTTTGGCCAAAGGGTTGAGGTTGAGGGAGTACGACCGTGCAAAAAAAAAGGGACAACTGGTCGAAACCACGTCCGTCTGAACGATCGGATCGGATCCCGAGAACCAGCCCGGCCTTAAAACCGTGGGACTTACGGTGGGTACTGGGAGAGCTGAAAGGTATTCCATTGGTTGGGTGTCTCCCTATCAAAATACCAACCGTATGGGTCGGTCGTCAAGGCTACCAAAAACAGGTTGAACCCAACCACCTCAGGCCTTATCCCAGTCAGATCAGTAACCTCTCGAAGGTATCAACAGTGCAACTTCTGGGTGTTGATCCTGTCCACTCGAATGGGTTCTGTGGTCTACCAGGTGCTTGGTCCTTAGAGTCTATTGTTGGTGCAAATGAAGCATCATCATGCGTTCTCAGACTGACATCTCCCAGATTTTTGCCAACTGCAGGATGCTGATGATGGTTACTATGGATGTTGATCCCTCCAAGTGAACCAACGGCTTACCTTGCGTGCAATACCAAAAGCACCCAAGGGAAGAACTTGTTCAAGAAACAAACAAACAAACAAACACACACACACACACACACAAAAACACAATGAACAACAAACGAACAACAAGCAACAAGACAACAACAAACAAAACAAAAACTACAAACAACAACAAACGACAAAATCGACAAAAAAAAAAACATACAAACAAACAAACCGACAAACCGACCAACCAACCACAACCACAACCACAACCACATCAACATCCACATCCACATCCAACAACAACAACAACCACAACCACAAGCGCAAGCACAAGCACAAGCACAAACACAAGCACCACCACCACCACAACAACAACAACCACAACCACAACCACAAGCACAACCACAACCACAACCACCACCACCACCACAACAACAACCACAACCACAACCACAACCACAACCACAACCAACCAACAGCAACCATAAACAAGAACAAGAACAGCAGGAACAGCAACACAACAACAGCAACAACGTCGCCACTAACCCCACAAACGCACAAAGGAAGGACGCTCGAAACGACGCCCCACCGCTCAACGCCCAGCTGCAACTTCTTGCTGACCACCTGCTCAGGCATTCCTGTCAAGGCCGCCACATCGGAGGTTGAGGTGGGCTCCACAGGGCCTCGGCGTGTCGCGGCGCATGTGAGGGTTTTCTCAGGGGAACCTCCGGAGTTTGACTCGACCCCACCTGGGAGTATCTGGGCATCATCCATCCACCACTCCCATACAGCAAAAAAGAGTTATGACTGGACCTCGCCGAAAAGGAGCCTGCGGAACTCACCGAAAGGCGATCAAAGGATATCAAAGGATCAGGCAGCAAAAGACTCACCTCCTCATCCGGACTCAAACAACGGGGTTCGCAACCAGCGAACTTTGGGGGGGCCGAAACCAGGCGAACACCAGTCGTCTTTGCTTTGACACAGCGACTGACTAGGACACAGTGGCAAAAAGTTGGTGTTTTTCCATGCTTTCCAGATTTGGTACATCTTAAGGGAAAAAAGTGTGTGTTCGTGTGTCTTTGAGCATTGGCCAAAAACTACACCTTGTCTGGCAGTGCCTGAGCATTCCAGAATACAGAAGAGGCATCACCTCTTCTGTATGTGCAGCGTGTGGAAAGCTTGAGCGACCCATATACCCGCCACGGGCAGTAGGAAAAAATATAACAAGATGAACAAATGGTATTCAGTGGATTTCAGAGGTGCCGGGGTCCCCTCAACTTTCGAACACGGACGGTGCGTCTACGGACATGCATGAGATTAGGTGGGCACTAGCTGCTTGACCAGTGGCGTGCCACTGGGACAGCCGTTGCCCGCTGAAGAACCTGCTGGGATTGATCACACATGTGGGCAAAAGAATCAAGCAAACCTGAATCCACCTACCAGCGCCACGAACTCTTCTCTTCAGCAGCAGAACACTTTTCACAGCCTACACCATCCCCCTTATACTAATTATATATACCTGAATATTCCTAGGGCTGCACTTTTTGCGCCTCCAATCTAGAAGGCGCCTCTAGGAACTGAGAGGCAATTTTTTTTGCAAGAGGCGATTCTTGTGTTACATAGATTTCTCCCCAGTTATGTTGATAGAACATATGATAACCGTGATAACAATGAAACTTATACACTTAACATATAGGAAAAACACCACAAACCCCGAACCATGAACCAAACATAAGTTATATGCATTCAAAAGGTTCAAGCATGATAAACCGTGAAACACATGAAGGCACGATAACTCACTGTGGAAAAGTGAGCGCACACAACATGAAACTATGTATAGATATATATGAACTGCTAATTTTCCATTTGGAGTTGCCTGCGAAAAATGACCCCCACAAGTCCGGCTTTCCCCTTCAACACCTGCATTTCAGGCAGGTCCAACCGGACTTGTGGGTGTTTTTTTGCAAGGAAAATTGCAAATATGAACATGATATCGCGCAATTTGATAAACACACATGAAAACATGAAAAACATGAAAAAACACATGAAAAACCTGAAATACATGAAAACACATGAAACATATGAAAGCCACATTAAAAACATGAAAGCACAGGAGAGCCACATGAAAAAAACAACACATGAAACATATGAAAAACGCAAAATACACGAAAACACACATTAAAGCACATGAAAAACATGCAACATAAGCAAAACCATGAAACACGTGAAACAACGAGGAGCGGAACTTCCCGGGTAAGAGGCGGAACTTCCCGGGTAAGAGGCGGAATTCCTGGGTTATGAATTTTTGGCATAGTATTTAATTAAGTCGACAGGTTGCCGCTTTCAGGCTCGTCTCTACTCGAAAGGGGAAATGGCGTATCAGCTTCCATCCCGTGTCTTTTCGAGTTCGACCCTGATGGCTGGTTTGACGTTAGTGAAAGAAGAGAAAGATGTGGACAAACTTGATGGTGACGATGCAACCCTGATGTCAGAGCTGCAACAACCGCAGGTGGGGCTGTTCGTTTCTATAGGTATTGATACTCACCTCTAGTCAGTGTTTTGGTCTGAACATTTCCTGGCTAAACATGTTAGCTTTGTTTTCTGCCGGTTGCAGGCGCTCAGGTTGCAAATCCAGCAACTGCCTACTCCTATGACCTCTGCCTTGAAAGACCTCCAAACGCCAAACACCTCGGAGAGTTACGTCTTGCCTGATGATGAAACTCAAACGGCTGGTTTGGGCTTGGACGCAGTTGCTAGCAAGCATGATGAAAGTCTGTTTGCTTGGGTTTGACCGATAATCTTTTATCATGTTGATATCATGTTGATAGCTGTCGGCAGCAGCAGCAGCGGAAGACCACCAAAAACATTACACATGACAAGATTCCCTTCTACCAGAAAAGCACGAGAGGCAGTTTTTGTTCTAAGCGGCAACTCTTGAATGGAGAGGCTAACATTTGAGCCTCTCTGCTAAGAGGCTGAGAAAAGCAACCACCGGAGGTTTAAGGTACATCGATCTATACCGTAACCATCTGTAACCCATTGCAGCCGCACTTCTATTCTGAACCCAGTTTCACCACCCGTTTCACCACCGAACCCCCGCACAGCGAGCACTCACCTCCTCAGCCATCTGACTGCCATTGAGATCACCCAGCTTCTTGAAGGTGGCCATCGCAGGCCTGGCGACGAAGAAGACTCGACGGATCTCGACGGTCCCGGATCCGCCCACCCACCACGCGGATCCAGCCGAGCAGAAGGGGGAGATCGGAAGGAGAGGTCATCAAAACCCTCTTCATCCCCCACCCCCAAAAAGAAAACTCACCTCTAAGACTCTAGACAAAGACTGACCAGCAAGCCCTGCTGGACTCGCCTCTGAGGGATTCTAGGGTTCTCTCCTGATCCGCTTTGGACCTGGGGATCCGCACCCTATAGACGCCCTAGACGCTCACCCTGCGCACCTTAAAAGTTCCACCGCTTTGCCCTTGTCATTGGGCAGCTGGATCTGAGCTTCCTCGTGCCGAGAACGCGACGCGTCGCCGACGTGCCGAGGGTGCGGCGCCGCGTCCGAGTTGATGTCGAAGGGTGCTTCCATTGGTTGTTCTTTCTGGTTAGCGAGTTGGTGACCTCTATTACTACATGTCCCCCCGAAATGGTTGCAGCAACTGGTCGAACTGGTTGCAGCAACTGGTCGAACAATCCTCTTTAACCCATCGATGAAACCACATCCATTTCCAGTCATTTGATTCATTTGATCCACCGCCGATCATAGATGATCATATAGGTCGCGTATAATGGATCACTGAATCAACACACAAAATGCACACCCCCTTTCATGACCACATCTATAGAAAATCAAACAGCACAGCTCCATCTCAGCACCAAGGAGTTAACCTGGGCACACGATGGCACACGTCCTGTGTCTCTGAAAGCAAACACTGGCCGGCCCGACATGCCAGGGATCCAGGAGCTGGACATGGGCTTCCAAACCCAAGTTCTGGGTGTCTCGACCTAGAGCCGCCGCCGCCGCTCGGAGCCGCTCGGACCATGCATGCTCAGGAGTACCCCCCGAAGACGATAGTCCGAACACAGACGTGCAATGAACATAATAGGGCCAACCTCCCAAGAATCTGTTCTTCCCCACGAAAAGGATGGTTGCTAGCAAAGCACGGGCGTGCTTCACGTTCCAACAAATGTTTGAAATTAATACATCAGAAAAACCATGCAAACAATTGGTTAGTCTAAGTTAATTAGTCTATGTTAGTCTCAGCTGGTCCAGTCTTTGCTCCTTGGGGGTGGTTGGAATCTGCTCCCACTCCGAACATCGACTCGGCGGGCCGACTCAGACCGTGATCGGGCCGATTAGACCGAGACGACACACGTGCCGTGCCTCACCATGCACTTGTTCCTAGTAGCTTCTTGTTACTACTAGTAAGGCACTTGTTACTAGAAGCGATGCACTTGTTACTAGTATATAGCTTCTTGTTACTCCAATGGGGCCTTTCAGGAACCGGGCCGTGCCTCACTCCACCGGGCGCAGCGAGCTGCGAACCGCGACCCTTCGGTCCAAGGCACAGATCTTCACCAAGGCCTCGGGTGCGACGTCTCGGCGGATGAGACGCTCGGTCCCTCCCAGCAGCGGTGCGTCGAGCCAGCTGAGAGGTGCAAACACCAGCAAGCACCGTGCGCGGTTTTTGGAGTTCGTGTAATTAGTGTTGAGATGTGTTGAGTGGTTTTCAGACCATGTATATCCGCGTCGCCTATATAGACACCCCCGTATTTTGAGGTCTTTGGAATCCATGTGGAGCCAATTCTTTCGAGGGGTACAAATACCCTACTGGTCCCCCTCCCGATCCCCGGTCTGCCTCCAAGGACTGGAGAGCTTCGCTGGGATCCTGGAGAAAGAGAGAGCTTCGCGCTGGCGCTGGCGAAAGAATCCAAACACCCAGGGTGTTGACCTAGCGCTGGCGGTTCCTGGGTGCCCCCTCCTGTCTACAGGGCCTATTTACGTAGGGTAGGTAGGGTAGTCCAGGGCCAGGACACCCATAATTGGATGATCCTGGTAGCTTCTGAATGCATGTCGTTTCACCTGATGTGAGTCGAGATTTTGATCGGACACCAAGATGTCCAGCCTCCATGAATTAACGACACAAGGACAGGCTTCGAATGGTTTTGATATAGGTGCTCATATGGGACAATGTCAGGCATGGTACTACCGGCACCAGTTCTTCAGTCGGGGAGTATACTGGGCATGTCAGGCCACTGGCGAACCCACAGAGCTCACACCCCACACCCCACAGACTGGGTCGATCCTTCAGGGCCACGCTGTGCGCTTGCCAGTAGAGCGCCAGGCCATGGAGGCGTCTGCGGGTTCCGAGGGTTCCGAAGAGAGAGAGAGAGAGAGAGAACCAGGATCCACGTAGCACCTCTAGCTAGGTCGAAAGTCGCCCCAAGCCTAGCTAGATTGAAAGGAAACGGAGTAAAAGAACTTGCCCTGCTTTTGAATCTCATGATTGATGGGAATACGTTCTGAATCGTTCTGAGTATCTGAGTATCTCCAAATACCATATGCGCAACTGGAGCGACGCCTTTGCGACCGGGTGGTGTCTACAACATTGGCATTGCCAGGCAAGTCAACGCCTGGTGAGGAGGACATCTGCTTGCAGTCTGTGTGTGAGTTGTTAAGAGTTAAACAATTGAACACCAAAACCAGTCACAGTGCATTTAGCACACATAAACTCATCCACACCAATTCCATCGTGCTCACCATGGGTCTTCAGGCCGAATCTAGGTTCTCCAAATCCCAGACTTGGTCCAACTTGGGCAGTCAAGATCCCAAAGTCAAAGTCCTTCCAGGTATCTCCAGGTCCGTGGTGGGTGATGTGGTTCACTATCACTCGTTTTTCACTATCCATTGGGGGGATGTTGGAGTTGATCATCCCGTAGCCTTCAAATCTCCACAAAAGCCTTCAATTCTCCACCCGTGTCGGCACCCCTCCTTGTCGCCAGCGTGTGTTCCGGGAAAACCTGCCGATCCCACCGCCCTCGAATCACCAGATATATAAATTTAATATCAAAAAATACCGGCGCCCTTCAACAGGTCACCACCTGCCACTTTTAGACTCTCCCTAGATCTTAAGTTGCTTGGGGTCAAAAAGTCGAGACTTTTTTTG